GATTTGCTTATATATTCTATTCTTTGCACTCCCGTCGTGTTTTTGTATTATTTGTTGTTGTGACGTTCTGACCACTACTGGACATCTGCGAAAAATAACTTCATAGCTCATCGGGTTCCTGCAGTATAAATAAGTATTCTGATTCTGAAGGAGAAACATCAAACCAATAACGCTTAGGCTGCACTATTTATTCACCCAAATACAACAACATCAATGACACAATCAACCCCATTACACTCCAAGAGCAGAAGTCAGCACCTAGCGCAAGATAGGTTCGTGCTGTTGCTCCGAACGCTGTTGCTAGGGATGCCGTTGCTAGGGTCGCCGTTGCTAGGGATGCCGTTGCTAGGGTCGCCGTTGCTAGGGATGCCGTTGCTAGGGTCGCCGTTGCTAAGGACGCCTGTTATGGAAGCATGTTGCTAGGGTCGCCGTTGCTGGGGACGCCATTGCTAGACACACCGTTGCGAGCGACGCCGTTGAAGGGATGCCGTTGCTATGGACGCCGTTGCTACACACCTCTGTTGCTAGGGATGCCTTTGCTTGGGAGGCCATTGACATGGCCAGTCACTGCATGTGTGCGTGGTACGGACGCCGTTGCTAAGGACGCCTGATGCTACGGACGCCTGTTGTTAGGGACGCCGCTGCGAGGACCGCCGTTGCTAGGGACGTGGTTGCTAGCGATGCTGTTGCTAGGGATGCCCTTGTTGCTAGGGCCAGTCATTGATACGCCTCCTTTCTTCCGGACGCCGTTTCTAGGACGCCTGTCTGATAGGAGGCCGCCGAGAGGGACCGCCGTTGCTATGGACGCGTTGAATTAATATTCCCACTGTCATTTTCCGATTCCGACAGCTGGCAGGATGGTGGTCGATGGCAATGCTCACCTCCTCGTCTTCACAGGGGAATCACTCGGCTGGCCGGGTGGTTGGAGGGCAGGCGAGGAGCAACTGGGCCCGAGTGGAGGACCACGAGCAGGGGCACACCGTGGAGGTGGCCCGGGCGGCCACCGTGCCGCAGCTGCGTGCTCATGACGTCACGACGAAGCCGACACTTCCTCTCGACTCCTTATTTGGACATAGGGCATGACGTCATTACCTAGCTCCCCCAACTTGAACTCTGCTCCTTATATGGACATTGTGTATGACGTCACTAAGCAGCCACCCTTCCACTCCGTGCGTCACATGGGGCGTGACGTCACTACGCAGCCCACCCTTCCATTCTGCTCCAGATGACATTGGGCATGACGTCACTATATAGCTGCCCTCACCCCCCCACTCTCCTTTCGGCAACTTCGCTGTGTCGATCAATGAGGAAGGGCCAGAGTTATGATCGATATCGCCTCTTCTACTTAATGCTGAAATCGTTTCTCCAAGTTGATACGGCTCAGTGTTATCAGAATCAGAATATGTATTATACTGGAGGAATCTGATGGGCTATAAAGCTATTTTTCACACATGTCCAATAGGAGCGGGTCAGAACGTTACAACAAACAAAGAAACCCACAGTAGGAGTACAAAGTATAGGAAAGGTAAACAAATCATGGGACCTAAACAAATCACTTAAAATAAACCGATGAAAACTCAACAAAGTTTTATCTTTCCAGGTAAAACCCACTGAGCTATTCATTCATTTTTCAGGAGCGACCTGGCCACAAATGATAGCTCAGCGAAGTGCATTATCATGTGGAAATTTATAGCAGCAAAATTATATCTAAATAACCTCAATGCATGTTTCTAAATGTGGAGGGAAAAACTAGAGGACCCGGAAAAAAAATTCGACGCCACCACAGCGAGAGAGACGCCGCAAACTGCAGAGGGGCACCAAGCTCGTAAATACCCCACGTGCGAATTTGTACCATCCTACAAAAACTGCCATAGCAGCTGCACTTGCAGGACCCCGAATAAAGAGGTCAATAGACATGTTTTTACATTTCTAAGTTGCATTACATCCGTAGATGAGCCTACGAAGTCCACACGACGCGAGAACCGAGGAAACTTTGTAAAACAATTAAAACGATTTGTCAAATAAATATATCTAGGGGCCGGCCGTCCATAAATGACGTCACGCACCTGGTGGGGGGGGGTCAGACATTTGTGACGAGGTGTGACGAAGGGGGGGGGTGAGAAATATGACGTCACATCAAAATGCGCAACTTTAAATAAATATAGACAACACGTTCTACTTAATTAAATAGACTTTTTAATACATGTTTTATTCTACAACATCAGAGTGCAGCGTCATATTTAAGGGGGGGGGGGGGGTCTGACTTTTTGTGACGTCGTGTGACGAAGGGGAGGTCAAAAATTGTCCCAAATAGCGTGACGTCATTTATGGACGGCCCCCTATATAATTATTGAAAAACACTGCAACAATAAAGGCCATTCGCCGCAAAATTGCGGTGACGTCACCACAACGCTTGTGCCAGGCCAGGTGCACCTTGCGGCCACGTGAAGTGTCGAAGGCTCGCTGGCAGGAGGTCACGGGACGGTCCCTGGCACCACGGTCGACTGGTAGATTGACCAGCCACCTGTGCCCCCTACTGCGCCAACTTGCTGGGTTTAGCCACCCGGCGCTCCGCTCGTTGTTGTGAGCGTCGCTCCTCCGCCCTCCGTTGTTGCTGGAGGGCGACTGCCTCCAACTGCCCAGCAGCGTCCTTCACGAGCCTCCTCCACTGAGGCCGATCTTGACACCGCTGGTACCGGTCATCGGCAAGTCCACTCAGCTCCACGTCCTCCTGTACCACATCACTCCATCTCTTCTCGAGTCCGTGTCGTGCCCGTTTAGCCCCCTCGATCCGGCCAAACAGAAGCTTCTTGTGCATGCAGTGGTTGGTCATGCTGGCTACGTGTATACACACACACAAGGAAAACGTGTACACACACTGAACATGTATACACACATGTGGAACACGTGCACACACACTCGTGCCCACCGAGATCTCCATCTTAATGTGAATTGGCTCTTGACGTGCTTCACAATCATCGGGTGATTGCGGAAAGTCGGAGCGTGGTGGGTGGGGGCCGCGAGGCTTGGAGTCCCCGATGCTCTGTGCAGACGAAAGCTCCAAGGTGCTTCCATCACGAATGACAGCTGCATCTGGGCTGGCGGGGAATTCGTGCCTGGATATTTTTGTGTTTATTTAAACAATTTTGACCGAAAGGGACGTCGGATGCTCATAAGAACACTAAATCCAGCGAGTCACGGGCGTGTCGGTCTCAACACCCCTACAGTCTGTTAATGCTATATGGGGGATCTTTTGTGTACGCAAGTGTGTATACACACGTGTGTGTGTGTACACACGTGTGTGCGTGTGGTGTGGGGAGCGGCTGAGTTGAGCTAGGGGAGACCCAGGGCCAGATATTACTCGTCACTGATGATGTGAGCCGTGAGCGGGAATCTCACTCACCTCGCCGCGTTCGTAGCACAATGCGCTAAACCACTGCACCACTGCTCCCATACCCACACAGTGGGCGGGGGGGCAAGAGGTCATCCCCCCTGGCTGGTGTTTGTGCTTATTGAAGTCTATGGGACGATTTAACATTGACGTCTATGGGATACTTTAACATTGAAGTCTATGGGAGACGTTAACATTGAAGTCTATGGAGACTTTAACATTGAAGTCTATGGGAGACTTAACATTGAAGTCTATGGACGATTTAACATTGACGTCTATGGATACTTACATGGGTCTATGGGAGCCTTTTCACATTAACCTCTCAATTCAACCCGTATCTATTAGCTGTAATAATGATCTATTATTACAGCTTCGAACGAGCTGTTTGTTGCTGGCCGCTTGACGTTTTCAGCCTGTGATCAGAAATTGTGTAAACAACATTGCACCCTCCCAGCATGAAGGATGAACAGTGGACAAACAACGAAGAGTGATTGGCATATGCATTTATTTTCAGGCAAAATAGCACGTGACTATTTACCAAATACCATTTACAAACAACGTAGAAGCCCACTTTGAGAGCAAACAATTGATAACACTGCACTGACAATGGCAAACCAAGCACAAATACAACTCAACACCTTCATCAACGAGTGGCTTTATGAGGAAACAGATATAATCGGCTGGACAATGACCTATGTGCTATGAAGAAGGGCTATTGCCTGAAACGTCGCCGAATATGTACGTACATTTTTGATGACGAGACGAGCATGTTATTGATGAATGTGAGTTTTGTGATGGGTCATATCAGTGACGTCACTGAAGGTAATGTTACAGACCCAGCAGCTGACACAGACACGTGTGTTGACATTAAACCGATTCCTGGACTCATGATAAACACTTTTCATTTACGATTCTTATATTGTGAATGTTTCCTGCAAACCCTAAAGACTCGTGTGTAAACAGGGTACTTCCGAGAAATTGCAACAACACCACAAGAAATGTGCCTCCGGGGCTCTGGAGACCACCTGGAGAAGATTCCAGGCGTCCGTTGACAATGATGGCGAACGAGTGGAGACTGACTTTTTGAAGCTATGTTACAGCGTATTATCCATTCTTTTCCCATGAAAAACGATAGTCCCTTGTCAAAAGGCACAATACATTGTGTAACACAAAACTACGGGGTTTCGTGTCGAACAAGAACTCATATCTCACAGAGAAGGTCCTCTTACCTATACACGTCTGGCAACTCGCCAGCATTAATTCACGTGGGGCTGACGGATGATAAGACGCTGAAAGTTGAAACGGGTCCAGTTTTGTTTGTGTTGAAATAAAGGAGCTGCTGAAATTATACACTCACAGAAAGCAAGACTGTGTGGCTGATGGAATGTGTAAAAAAAACACTTTATTATTTTCTTGTTGAGGGACAGCTGTGTGAGGTAGAACCGTCTACGTCATGATTGTTAGACATTGCATAAGCAGCCTCCTCCTGATTTGACTCAAGTGTTAGATTTTGCCTCTTGTGATGATCAATGCAAGGGTACAACGCTCCGTCCCGAGTTATATCCACGTCCAATCCAGAGCATGGGCCCAACTATTCCTACCGCTCTGTTCACGAATCCAGGTCTTGGTTTTCCATGAAGCTGCCGAGCGTCGAAGCGTCGATGGGAATGCTCAGGTACTCCACTCCATCAGCGCCCTGCAAACACGGAAAACTCTTAGGATGGCAAGTTACCATTCTTGAATGTTTTAATCGATAAGAGACCAGATGGCTCATTGGGACACTGTCTACAGGAAAGCCACCCACATGGATGCCTATCTAAAACCTGACTCCCACCACCATCCAGCGCAGAAGAATTCCCTCATCAAAACCCTACACCATAGGGCCCGCTACATCTCCGACCAGCACCACCTAGCCAGTGAGCTGGAGCACATACACCAAACCCTCAAGATTAATGGATATTCGGACCGCACAATCCGCAAAGCTGTCACCCCAACCATGGGAAAAAAACATCTGAGGACCCAATCAAAACCATCACCTTGCGATACATAGCAGGGGTCACCAAAAATATTTCCAAAATCATAAACAAACACAAGATCCAGGTGCGATTCAACACAGCACGTAAAATTCGTGATCTGCTCCAATCTGTGAAGGATGTCATCCCTGACATGCAATACCCAGGCGTCTACAAACTAAGCTGTGTCTGCAGCAGTAGTTACATTGGCGAAACTAAGCGTCACGTCTCGGACCGTGTTCGTGACACAAGGCAGATCTGAAACACGGCAGGACCAATACCTCAGCCGTGGCTGATCATTGTTTTAACGCTGTGGGCTCACACGATATTGATTTTTCCAAGACGAAGGTACTCTGCAAACCTACTGGCTATCATCAAAGATTTGTTAATGAAGCCATCCAGATAGATAAACAAACACAACTTCAACTGAGAAATCATTGGAAGGATGTGATTAACCAGGTAAGTCTTAACTTGCTATGATGTTTCCATCCTTTCTACCGATGTTAATTGACTCTCTGAGTTTCATTACGAGGTTGGATGTCTTTGTATAGACAGGCTGGGTGTCCACTGCCCCAGCCTCTGTGGTTGGACCATCTCTAGCTCCACCCACCTACCTTGATGCACCCATCTCAGGCCTATATAAGACCTTGTCTCAGCAGCGTTCTCTCTCTCTCTCACCTGAAGACGATTGCTTGTGTTGCGATCGAAACGTCGTGATCTATTTTCTAATTAAGTGACTTGACCGAAAGACCCAAAGAGTATTAATTCCTGCAATCACGAAAGCTTTAAATCAAGATTTAAAACTCTTAGTCTTTCACAAAAGTCATCATTCGTGTCGTTTAGGAGAATATAAGTAAACAAAATGTGCTTCTGCAGCCATCTGGAACGCTATTAGGAAGCCACTGGACCTATGCACGTCAATTGAAAACTAATTTCTATTGAATTGCTTTTGTGTTTAGTTTGTTGTCCTTCCCCCGCACCTCTGATTAGCACGATTGGCTAAGTACAGTGTAAAAGACGTTCAACATACATACGAAATAATCCTAATTGAGCCATTTACAGAATTGAATGTGTGGCAATGTTGTTGTTTAGAACACCAACTTAAAGAGTTCCAACGGGCAGCAATGAAACAAAGACACCTGTAGACCGGTTTCATCTTCATTAGGACTCATCAGCACAGCACAGTCATCAATGATCACTGCTGCCAAATGTCTCTTAGGCTGGCAGTCTGGATAAGACTGAGAAAGTTCATACATGTAATACACGCCTTTAGTTCGTTTTTAAATCTACACATGGCAGTGTTAACCAGGGTAGCCTACCGGAATCGAACCGCGAACCTCCCTCTGGGTCATGTCACCACCTATTTAAAATGAAATAAAAGCCCATATTTACCCATCTGGTCTGTGCCAGCTACGGGAGCAGTGCACACACAACGACTCGGCATGGGCAGGGAGGGGGGTCCGTAAGTGACTCGGGCAGGGGTTGGCAACCAAGACAACAAAAATAGCCAATTTTTTTCGAATTCGGTAAAAAACACTCAATATCTCAGGAGCCGTAACGCATGTGAATAACGTCACCAAGTGGTCCCTAAAGAGCCGCATGAGCCTCCGGAGCCGCAGGTTGCCAACCCCTGGATTAGGGGAATGACCACAGCATTGAATCTCAGCGTGGAGGTGAACGCGACGGCAAGCGACAGCGACACGCATCCCTAGCGGGGCACAGCAGGGCACCTTCTTGGTGCGGATGAGTTTATGGTCGCGGAACTCGGTGAGTTGCGCTCTCAGGGTGAGGTCGCTGTTCACCAGGAACGCCACTCGGCAGCGCTCGTAGAAGTCCTGGAACGACAAACCTGAACAACGCAGCTCGCATGAGCCTCAAGCAAGGCAGCCCTGGCGTGGCATGGCCACCACGAGACCACAACAGACGAAGATCCCTCGTATAGCCTCAAGAGACTGTTAGGGAAAGTGCTGTTTAGCGAGCACCTATGAAGGTCGGTTACGGGCACACAAGAGGGTGGGTGACAAGCACCACGCCCAGGCACCTTAATCTCCAGAGTGGCGATGTTTACGCATTGCACCAGGTACTCATTTGAGGCCGAGTCGATTTAGGGGAGGGCCAGGACCAGTTTCTGACAATCGTCACTGGTGTTGGCCGTGAGCAGGAAGTGAACTCGGGTCGCTGGGTTTGCAGCGCGGTATGCTAACCCTTGCGCCACCACTCCCCCCAGAGACAATACACACTCCATCAGCAGCAACTCGCGCAATACATGGGACGCATTTGTTGGACGAGGAAAAGTTACGTCAAAATCCACAATACAGCCCTTTGCAGTAAGCGGTGGAAATTCTACATTCATATGTCAGGGACGAGGCTCTCCATAGCACAATCACTGTTGACTACCTACAAAGGGTTACTCATTTTATTAAACTCCAAAAGACGATCACTGAGTCAACACTCAACCAGGATTTGAGCTCATGAACTGGTAAAACTCAGACAATACCAAACTAAAACTATGTTTTATTTTACCAAATAAGGCCCATTGAGCTATATAGCACTTTTTCAGAAGCAACCTGGCCATTATTGATAGCTCAACGAAGTGGCTTATCACGTGGAAATGATTAGCAGCTAAATGAATGTTGATATAAAATGAGGGAAAAACTGGACCCGGAGAAAATTCCCCACGACCACTGGGAGAGTGACACGCAAACTTCAAATATACAGCAGGCGTCAGGGTCAGTGTCGAACCCACGACCTCCTGCACAGGTAACATTTCGTCACCGCGGTGAGATGTTAACGGTACACTCAAGCAGCAGCCGTGATGTCACGAGTGGCAGTGTCGGCAACGCACGGCAAGTTGGGTAGGTGTGGAGAGAGCCTCTCACCTGGGTTGGAGGGGTTGTTTTTATTGTCGATCTCATGCTCCACAAGCAGCTGGAATATTCCCCTGTAAGGAGAGAGTGATTGTAAATGGTCACGCTCCATGCAACAGACAGCCAGTCAATGATAATACCAACACACAATGCCGGCCATTCCACAGTTGCTCCCGTTATATTGAACAATGATGTTCTCATCGAAAGTCAAACCATTAATATGCTTGGTACAGAAATCTTATCTTAGCTGTCATGGAACGGCTGCGTTACTCATCTGGCTAAGGAGGCATCTAAGAAGCGTGGTTGTCTTCTCCCTGCTAAAGCCTCTTCATCTCTGCACAATCATTACTGCTGCTACACACACCACAGAGTCAGCTGAAGTTGGAATCCTGCTGCCGTCATAATTGGGGTGAAGCACCCAGTCCCTCCCTCCCTGGTGCTGACAGAGTTCCGAGTCAAGCGTCAGGGTGACTGGAGATCCAGCACTGCCGATTCACTCCCACCTATTAAGCAGTGCAACTCAGCTTTGCAACCTCATCACCTCTGCAAATCTCCTCGTTTCAGTGCCAAAAGCGTACGAACCCTGACAGCTGTGAATCTTCGCTCGGTCTGTGCCCTAGACCTTCGATCCCTATGAGCTCGTGACCCCTGCACCTTGGTCAGCGAGTCCCGAGACCTTTAACAGAATCAGAATCTTTATTTAGACTGGAGGAGTCTGTGCAGCACTGATCGGCCTGTGTTTGATACTCGTGAGTTGAGGCTCACACCCCTTCCTTGACTGGTCACTGGAGTCTAGACTTTCGTCACTAACTATTAGGACTGTGTTGTTTTTGTTATTACCTGACCATGTACTTTATACTGCCGTTAATGTTGATATTGTTCATGTGACTTGCATTATTCCATTGCCCTGTAACCGTTGAAAATCTTTTCATATTTGCTTGTGTTGTTCTTTTCAAACACCAGTTACTCGTTTTTTCTTTGCCTCGACTCTTGCCCCAGAAATTGGTTATCTTGATAGGTCCATGGTTTGAGACACATGCAAGTGAGATTTTGTTTCTATAACTCATACAATACTGTGTTTATTTACATTGGACCATGACCGTTTCAGGAGGTGAGATTGAGAATAAATGTCAAGAAAACCAAGTAGTGACTGGACTGCGTCTTGTGTTTATAGCTGGTTGTTTGGGTTGTCTGCACTCAGGGATTGGGTTTAGTGGAAGGCTGGGTTTTGGCAAAGTCGGAGTTTCTCCTATTTCACCTTTGGGAGGCGATAACCACAATCTTGACTGCTACAATACTGCTGCTAGATAGACAGGAGCAATGATGCATTATGGGGAAATTAGGAACCTTGCACCATTGTTTCAACTGCCGCAACGGGACACGGGATCGAACCTGCAACCTTTGGATTTTAATTCCAACGATTTGCCAACATTTACACCGCTGTGAGAGCTCCCCTTCTCATCACACAAGGTCAAAGTGTTACAATTGTCGCTCTAGACATTTCTATACGTGCAGCAAACTGGTAACTGGCAATAGTTACTGGGTCCTTCATGCCATTACCGGTGATGCAACAAGAAAAACGATTCTAGATTTGAAGCTTTCGTGACTGCAATGATCCATACTCCTAGGTTTTTTCGGTAAAGTCACGTAGGTAAAACATTAAAATTAATAAAAGTAAAATAAAATAAAAATCACGACGTTTCGGAGGCAACACAAGCTCCCGTCTTCAGGTGGAACCGTCACAGCCACGACAGCTGCTTGATACAGTCGTGATTTTTATTTTATTTTACTTTTATTAATTTTAATGTTTTACCTACGTGACTTTACCGAAAAAACCTAGGAGTAAGAAAAACGATTTTAACACTCCTGGTGTGGATGCACCTGGCAAATATCCAAATATCGATAACGAATATTTGAACAGGTTTTGGGCTACCCTTGGTAGACTCAGCCTTAAACGAGTACCTGGTGCTGTATGTAAAAAAAACACAAGCAATGGGAAGACGGGGGTGGCCGGGCGTGGTGCTGACCTGCACCCCTCAAGGGCCGTGCCAAACTTCATGGTGCTTGCTAACGTCACTTGTCAAAAATCGCTGTCAAGGCTACGCGGGGTGTCTTTGTTCCTGTGTTCGTGTGTGTCGGCCTTCGGTATCGGCGTGCTTAATACCTGGCATTGGGCGTCAAGCTGCGCAGTACGTGGGTGAGAGAGCTGAGCGCAAGCGAGTCCGACTGTTGGACGAGCAGCGAGTTCTCGTACGACGTCTCCTCTGCGTAGGGCTCGTAGGTCGTGACCTCGCACCACAGCCAGTTAAACCAGCCAACTTTGCTCTGCTCCCAGACTTAGACGCACACCACACAAAGATGCACCCATATCGCATTTTACGAACTGTTGGGGCGAGTGCTGTTAGTCAGAAGGACCTATGAAGAAGGCCAGCACGACAGCACACGAGGGGGTGGATGGGCAACACCATGCCCGGCCGCCTTTGTCTCCCTAGCGGCGATGTTTACACAATGCACCAGGTACTTATTTGAGGCCGAGTGGACCTCGGGGAGGCCCAGCACTTGTTAAGATAATCGTCACTGGTGTTGGCTATGGGCAAGAACCAAACAGCGCGGTAACCGCTGCAACGAATGTACGCGTGTCCCCGTACTGAGAGGGCCGTTGATGTGGTCGACGCTGGCGATGAGGTGCACGTTCGGCAGACTGGCCAGTTGGCCAGGACCCGCTGGCTCCGCTCGGCGCGCAACATCTCCCCGTCGATGTTGTGAATCACCAGGTAGAGCTCCAAGCTGCTATCTGCCGCAGACATGAACACAGACACTCAGGTTCATAAGGTCGCACCGTTGACACACAAAGTGCTTGCCACAAATTAACCACAATACCTTGCTGATCTCGTCAAGGAGCATAAAGCATCACACGAATTCTGGTCATCCTCGCAGTGGTTTTTGGCGAGCCAAAAGACGGTCACTGAGGTCGCGGCTTTAAGATGTGCTTTTGCAGCCGTCTGGAACTTCCTTCCGTTATTAGGAAGCCACTGGAACATGCACTTTTATATATATATTGAAAACGAATTTCTTTAGAATTGCTTTTGTGTTTAGCAGAGGTGGGACAAAGTCATTGTTATGCAAGTCCAAGTCGAGTTGCAAGTCTTTGTACATTTTGCCGAGTCGAGTCTGAAGTCATCAAATTCATGACTCGAGTCTGACTCGAGTCCAAGTCACATGACTCGAGTCCACACCTCAGAGGTGGGACAAAGTCATTGTTATGCAAGTCCAAGTCGAGTTGCAAGTCTTTGTACATTTTGCCGAGTCGAGTCTGAAGTCATCAAATTCATGACTCGAGTCTGACTCGAGTCCAAGTCACATGACTCGAGTCCACACCTCTGGTGTTTAGTTTGTTGTCATTCCCCTGCACCGCCGATTAGGGTGATTGGGTCATCAATCACCGTGACCGCTTTACAACGGAACTCTGTCAGATGCAGCGATGTAGGAACTGGGTGCTCTCCACCCCAGATATGACGACAGCAGGATTCCAGCGTCAGCTGACTCTGCGCTGTGAGTAGCAGCAGTAATGATTGTGCCGAGTTGAAGGGGTTTTGGCACGGAGAAGAAAACCATATTTCTTCGACGCCTCCTCAGCCAGATGAGCAACAACACACTCATGAGCATCCAGGTGGCATAGCGTCATTCTGCGTGACGGCAGACGTGCGGACAGCTGAACCCACCCTGCCGGAACCTGGAGCAGATGTGAGCCAGCTGCTCCATAGGGTTGCGAATGCCGATTCCATCTTCTAGAACTTCTGATATAATTGAATTCAACACCTGTAGAGCCGGTAACACAACACCAATCACCACACCACACCACGTGGGCCACTTTATGAGTCTGTGCGACTGTTTGAGTCTGTGCATCTTGTTGCAAGTCTGTGCGAGTCTGTGGTGTATCTAACCTGGCATAATCGCAATGAGGATATTACCGCCACTCAGTGGCAAACAGTAGTTTTTGCGAATCTGTGGGTCTCTGTGAGTCTGTGGCTCTCAGGGTGAATCTAAGGGTCTCTGTGTGTGTATGTGGGTCTCTGTGCGAGTCTGTGATGAAACTAGCTTGGCACAAGAGCTATGGGGACGTCACTGCAACTCGGTGCAAACACTGGTTGTTGTTTTAGCGAATCTGTGGGTCTCTGTTGGTCTCAGCAACAGCAACTTGAGGTGTTACATGATAACTCTTCTACTGTGTAATAGCTCGTATTACACTGGACCACTGACCATCTTGATGGTGATGGAGGGGAAGTATCCGTTGATGACCACATGGCAGCGGTTGGGCAGGAGCGCACATCTGAACTCCTCCAGCAGATTGCGCTTGGACCCCAGTCCATACAGCAGCACATTGAACCCCAGTCTACCGAACAGACCGAGTGAAATCAGCCAGCGTCATCATGTACACGGTGGAAGTGGGTCTGCCACTTTCAGTTAGCCGGAACATCTCCTCCATCAGCCAGAATCTATGGGGAGGTCTGACCCACATACCCAATGCAGCCATTGCAGTTGCATGAACCACAATCCTGAATCTTGACTTAAAGCTTTCGTAACTGCAGAAATTCATATTCTTTGTGTCTTTCGGTAAAGTCACGTAAATAGGTTCAATACACAATCCTGAACCTCACCCATTTCCTCTCAGCATCAGGAGGAGGAGGGTATGATGCCGACCTCAGCTGCAAGCGCTTATGAATGTCTCGCTTGCAAACTTCACGAGCTAGTCGAGACCACAGAAGGTCGGGTGTCAAGGACATGGGCCCCGTTCACTGCTCTATCACTATACAGTCCAGCAGATGTTGTGTGGATGCGGCAGTGTGTTGGTGATGATAAACCATGAGTTTCACACAAGTCCAACAGCCCCTGACCATTGTTATTGAGCTGCTCTGGTCCATGCCTTTCAATGACTCTGGCCTCGGTGCCTGCGTCATAACTCACTTGGGCATTAAAGTCACCAAATGGGATGATTTTTTCCCGAGGGGCTGCTTTAGCTAGCATATAGGACAGGAGGTCATAGAATGTATATAAATCATCATCCTCCGATGTTAATTGTTATTGCCAAAACAAAGACAAAGATCCTCCAAAGCCTTATCATACCATTGGGGCAAGTGCTGTTAGTGAGCAACTATTAACGTTGGCAGCGCACACGAGGGGTGGGTGGCCAGCACCACACCTGGCCACCTTCGTCTCCCAAGTGGAGATGTTTACACACCGCACCAGGTACACATTTGAGGCTGCGTCTACCTCGAGGAGGCCCAAGACCGGTTTAGATAATCGTTACTGGCGTAGTGTAATAGCGCCGGCTGCTGGGCAGCGGCGGCAACTGTGGTGGACAGACGACACACGCCGGTGAGCGTGTGCTCGCGTGTGTTGGCAGGGCGGAGGAACTGGGGCAAGGGTCATGGAGGACCCCGTCTGGAAGCCCCTGGAGCCCGCTAGTGGGTTCGAGAAGGGAGGCGTGGCCAGGCCACGCTGGTAGGATAAAAGGAGCCGAGAGTGGGAGTTGCCGATTCTGGGATTGGATTCGTCTCCTCGTCGCTGTCGTCTCGTCGCCGTTGCCGTCTTCGTTCGCTATTGCGCTGCTAGAAAGTAGTTGGCTGTATCAGTCAGCGCCGTCAGTGTTAGATAGCTAGTGTTGTGTATAGGCGAAGCTAAGCGACTGTAGAGCGTGTGTGGACGAGACCGTGAATGTTCTAAATAAAAGAAGTTGCCTCCTACAAACCTCACTGATACTACACTGGTATTGGCCGCGAGCGGGAATCAAAGTCGGGTTGCCGGGTTCGTAGCGCAGTCCGCCAAACGCTGCACCAACCGCTCCCCACAACATATCGCGCACACCCACCCTCACTCCAAGAATCACGCACTTGCCAATACACTCACTCACTGCACTGCTCCACTTTGGAATGCCCTCCCATCCTCTCTTTTCTCCAAGCTCTCACAATAACCTCTCAATCTGTGAAACGTGTCAACTCGTATCAGTTACAGCTCTGATGGTTGTCGTTTGCTGCCAGTCGCTTGCCATTTTGAGACTTTGGGCCCTATGCTGCGCAGCTGCGTTCAAAGAGTGCAAGAGTGAGGGCCAGATGGTCCCCTATGCTTCTAAAATCTGGTGTGCAGGCCGGGAGGTCGGGTGGAGGGGACGGCTATTTGTGCGGGTTGCACCCCTCTTCCGGGAATGGGCGGGAGCGGAGTGCTGCTCCGTGGGACATGAGTTCACAAGTTCATCTGCCGCGTGTGAATTATTGTATTTGTGGTGCTTTATTACATGGCTTCCCCTCTTTTGCCCCACCCACCCCCCGTTCCCCCCTAGCCCTCTCTTTTTCCCATTATGTTAGTTACCTTTTCTCTTACCCCCCCCATCCCCCGTATAAGATATCGTGTCCACACTAGTGATCCCCACCCAGTTCTCCCCCTTCTTTGGGCCCTGACGCGTCAAACTCTGGGCTGTTGTTCACGTAACTTTTGTCCCCCCTCCGTTCTATGATCGGTGCTTTGAGTTGTAACAACACAGAGTGCAAGGGGCGAACGTCCCGACCTGAGCTGCGTCATCCACTTTGCAAAGAGGCCTCGGTACTCCCGCTCCAGCTGCTTGCGCTCCTCGCGGAACGGCAGCTGCACAGCTCTGAGCAGGCGGCCGAGGGTTTCCTGCACGGCGCACAGCACCAACGGAATCACGACGCTGACGCTGACGCCGACACTGTCACACACGTCGCCCAGTCCCGCAGCAGCAGCTGCTGCACAGTCAACGTGCAGCAACTTCCAACATCACGCTTCGTATGTACAGTATGTTGAACTTCGTTCACACCATACGTAGCCAGCCGCGCTAATCAGAGGTGCGGGGGGAAGGACAACAAACTAAACACAAAAAGCAGTTCTAAAGAAAATTAGTTTTCAAAAAGCTCGAATAGACTCCCGTCCACCATCCGCTCTTAGGTCTTCTCTTCCCTTTTGTCACCAGACTCATGGAGATCGCTGCCATGCCGGTCTTGGCAATCAGCCCTCCATCCGGCACACACGTCCCTCTCTTCCGGACATATGCATTATATGTATGTTGAACTTCTTTCGTACCGTACGTAGCCCACCATGTTAATTGGAGGTGCAGGAGGAGAACAAACTAAACACAAAAAGCAGTTCTACAGAAATACGTTTTCAATCTGGATGATTTAAAAGTGCACAGCTCCAGTGGCTTCCTTATACCAGAAGAGCGTTCCAGATGGCCGCAGAAGCACATCTGAAAACGCGCAATGCAGTGACTGTCTTTGTTCTGGCTACGAAATTTAAAGTGTGGCAACAAAAATTTCCAGCATTCGTTACAGACACCTGAGCTCAAATGCCAACAAGATATGACCGTGCGGCTTCGTCCATCAAGAGTCCGGGTCTCTGAACCAAACGGTAACCCAGATGGACACACAACCCAGGCACGTAAACTCACCTGGTCAAGGCGTGGAGACTGCAGCTTGGACAACGTGCGGTCAGAAGTGATGACCTTCGAGGTTTTGTGGGCGTCAAAGTAATCTTCCACCACTTCTTGCTGCAAGTGACAACACAGTGAACCCCCAGATTGGTGAACCCCCAAATGTCCAGAATTCACACTTGGCCAGACGAGGTCAGCTAAAAAAAAAAAATGTAAAATGTACATAAAATGAAAACACAAAATTATTATTTTAATCCGTTATACTTGATGAACCTTATGGCGGGACCCCGGGGTCCCATAAGCCCCCGGCTCTCGTCCGTGACCAGGCAACCTGCTAAACTGCCCTGATCACGTTATGTAGTATCCCCTCCCGAGTGTGAGATTAGGAACGGTGGTCACCACCTTATGTATAGTGTTCACGTTGGTTGTTATGTGTTAATAAATAGTGTTGCCTCCAAGTTGAGTGCGCACCTCAATTGAACCCACTACACTTCTACACACCCGAGTCATTGATATGGCAGAGGAGGGCGTTCCACAAGTGGGGGGGGGGGGCACACAGCTGAAGGCCCAGTCGCCCTGGAGAGGAGTTTCGTCTTATGTTGCATTGAAAACTGAGTACGTGGAACAAAGATTCAGAGATGGAATATTGGGAATATTAGCAACAAGATCTTACGGTTGATTATAAGCTTCAGCGGGAACCGATGAACAGAAGCCAGAAGAGGTATGATAGAACAGGATGTAACACTGAAACCGGAAGAGCGCCTTTTCAGTTATGCCAATGTTATTTTTGCAGCGGTTCAAAAGGATCTCATATCAAAGGTGGCACTGTGATCCGTCTAAATAAGGATGCTAAGTGTGTCAGAGCCAGTGGTCATCGGAAGATTATTTACCACCTGGCCCACAGCTGTTTCAGTACTGTGCGCCAGTCTAAAACAGATTGTAAGGGTTCCATGTAATTGGTAGTTAAATCTTTTACAAGTACACTGCTACCGCATGTTTGAGGAACTTTGATAAAAAGTTCCAAATAAGTTCAACATACAACAGAAGATCCAATATCGGTTTTTGTGAGGCTTATGGGTCTCTGTGTCAGTCTGTGGGTCTCTGTATGAGTCTGTGGGTCTCTGTGTCAGTCTGTGGGTCTGTGCGTGAGTCTGTGGGTCTGTGTGTCAGTCTGTGGGTCTCTGTCAAAGTCTTTTGGTCTCTGTGTGAGTCTGTGGGTCTGTGTGTGAGTCTGTGGGTCTGTGTGTCAGTCTGTGGGTCTCTGTGTGAGTCTGTGGGTCTCTGTGTCAGTCTGTGGGTCTCTGTGCAAGTCTGTGGGTCTCTGTGTGAGTCTGTGGGTCTGTGTCAGTCTGTGCATGCAAGTCTGTGGGTCTCTGTGTGTACGGGTATCCAAGTCACTCACAGTGATGCGAGCTCCTCGTTTGCCTCTCTTCCTCGCTGGAGTCAACTTGTGGGTTCTGTTGGCCTCCGCTCCTCCTCTGCCTTTCACGGTCTCCTCCTCGCTGTGCGAATCTTCCTCCTCCGACACAGACTCGGACAGCTCGCTCTCACTGTCTGACTGAACCTCTGTTCCAAAGAAACAACCAATCAACAATTAATAATATTAAAAGTAATGATGCAACATTTTTTACGAGACCCACAAGATAATTGGTTCTTTACCCTTCTATCTGGCAACAAAACTGACACCTTTTTGCAAGGTGTCAGTTTTGTTGCCAGATAGAAGGGTAAAGAACCAATTATCATATTTTACTGGCAAATGAGGTCCCCATAGTGAGACCCACAAGATCACACAGAGTCAGACTCGCAGAATCACAGAGACCCGCAGAATCACAGACAAAATAGACACAGACATCCACAGGCTCACAAAAAGTAATGAAACACTATCTATGTCGATTGTGACCAATATAATGCATTGGTCTAGAAAGCCTATTCACTCATGATCATACATAATTATATCTTTATTATCCACAAAGCCAACCTCTGTCAATTATTTAATCATCTAACATTGGTGGTTATGCTCCATGACAACAACGTTAACTTTGTTAACGCGCAGGAAACCACAGACAAGCGGGAAGGCAGCCGGCGCCACCAAGAATCGCCAAGACTCGCTAGTCCTACATTGGGATCTTCGGTCAACTCCACTCACGAGTATTTATATAGGGCAGCGGTGGTCAACTGGCGTCGCCTGAAGCTCTTGGTCTGCTACAGGTTGGCCACACCGGATATACGGGCTTCTGCGCTCACACTTGTGCACATGAAGTAATCCACGCAGTGATTTTAACGAATCTATTCATGTATTTATATGCACGTGCGCGCACACACATTTGTGCAGCACACATCCAAAGACCCAAAACGCCAAGTGGCGTTATAACCTGTTTGGGGCAGTGACATGACGCACGGTTAGCGCGTTCGCCGCATGGAACAGAGGTCGCGATTACTTTCCTGCAGACCACCCTGGTTAATACTGCAGTACGAACACTAAAATACCGTGTGCCGTGCACTTCAAATATCCCGTGGCGTCATTCTAAACGAGTCGACCCATGTGTGGCGAATTTCAAAAAATACACTGCAAATTACTCATTTGGGATCACGTACACCGCAGCAATCATCGCCCCCTACTGGCAGAATAATGCCCACTGGCAGGCCAGATGCCAAGTCACCTTGTGCCGCCAAGGGACGGCTGCCACGGGGGGTGCCCGTCGAATGTTTGAGATGAAATGCGATGAAAGTTGCTGAGGGATTTCAGCAAACGTCATATAAATGCAAAATAGAGGTATTTATGATTGTAAAGCTCACGACACATGCACCGAATGTCACGTGTACGAATTATTTCACGATCAATGTAATTGGTGCACATGATCACTGCGTCCATTGGCGTTGTTTCCATTCAATGCAGTCTTATAAGATTAGTCCAGTTTTAAATTAAGCGACAGACACACATGCATCGTCAGCACAGCTGCTACCTGAAATTGTCGTTTTTAAATTCCGTTGCTGAGCACAAGCCCAAATGCCAAGCAGCCACCGATAAACAGCACAATTACAGTTGTAGTAGCAGGGAGTTAACACGTTTGTTGAATTGAGCAAGGTTATTGTCCAAATCTTTATTTATCGTGGAGAAATCCGATGAACTATGAAACTCGTTTTCACAGGGGCGAGTCAGAGAGTTACAATAACAATACAAAAACGACAGGAATAAAGTATAGGAAGTGTAAGCAAATCACTAAAAATTAATACATAAAATAGATAAAATATATAAGTTGTAAGCATATTGTTGTAAGAGAAGAGCTTGGGGGGAAATAGACGAAGGTTCGGGGATTTCAAAGTGCAGCAGTGCAAAGAAAGAAGCAGAAAGATAAGTGTTGAGAGCTGCAGTATGGTGAGTGGGTTTGTGGGTGAATGAGTGGTTGGGTGGGTGTGTGGTGAGTGTGTTGGTGTTACCTGCAGTGTGGTGAGTCGGAGTAAGCAACTGGGTGAGTGTATTGTTTTGACCTGCAGTGTCTGTTCGACCGATTCCTCTACATGCGTGGACAAATCAACCAGTGAAGGTTCAGGGGAACAGTAACTACTGTAGTAGCGATAGAACAGTGATAAGGAGGTGATTGAACACAGGCGAGCAAGTGAAGCCGTGAGAACTGGATCATCAATCACTCCAGACTGCTTTGCATCGACGGCTTCTCTAACCTTTCAGTCTCTTGCGCAAACGATACGGCGTTGAGGCTACGCCATGTAGAGAGGCTTTCTGTCACACGGGCAGGACACACAACAAGACACACAGTGCTCACTCTGTTCTCCTCCGACACTCGAGCTACACAGACACAAGTTGACATTCTGTTGCATAATAGTAGTAAATAAACAAACAGGATTCAAAGGGAGATGGAATCTAACAACGTGAATATACGCTCCAGGACTTTAACGCTATCACTTTCACAGCGAGTCAGAAAGCCATAATAAAACACCGTAGGTCACGCTCACCACGTATTGTACGAGGCTATGTGCGCCGAAATTGTGGTTAGTAAAAATAGATGTCGAAGTGATTTCCTGCTCAAATGCGCATTGAAGCATTCATTGGTGCGCATCTCCTGTTTACAGCCCTAAGCCAGTGGTGGTTGAGTCTATTGAACCACCACCGTTGACTTCCCCACACACGGGTACTCATTTTATCGACCCCAAAGAGATGTTGGGCTGAGTCATGCCCTAACCTGGATTAGAACTGGCCTTGCTCTCGTACCAAGGGTTGGCAGCCTGCAGCTCCGGAGTGGGAATGTAGCTCTTCCAGGACTGCCTCGTGACATCAACTATTTCCCACCACCGTCTAGAATTGACATGCATTGTGTGCCTCCAGAAAGAGCTTTTTTTTCACAGAATTCGAAAAAATGGCTCTTTTTGTTGTTGTGGTTGGCGATCCTCCCCCGCACGAGTGCATCATTTCGCAAATGGCGGGTGGCAGAACACTCGCGTGCTGCGATAAAACTCCCGGCGTACCACGATGTTTTCTGAATTACAGTGCCGGAAAAACCCCAAGCCCCCACACGCCCCACCCCTCTCCATTAGTGACGCAAGTGCAATACGGTAGCAGCACACGGCCGTGAAGTCACCCCCACCCACCCCGGCCCTCAACTTCCACGATTCTGTGCGAGCCGCTACAAACAGATGATGGGCTAAATCAGGCACACCCACCACCGCCCCCACAAACGACATTTTTAACTCGCAACTTTAGATTGCGAGCCACTCACTCATCTAATGGCAGGGCAGGGTAAGTAACTTGGAGGTTCAGACTAAGGCATTGCAGGAGAGTTTTGCAGTTTTAATCAGGAAGGAGGCTGCGATGGATGGGACACGACTACAGGGAAGAGGGAGCAGCAGGTTACAGAGAGACAGACATTGGAGTGACACTCAGAGGGATTTTTTATATATGTATAAACAGTTTTTATAAACACAGTTAAAGGCAAAAACGTTAAATATCCAGAAACAAACAGCACTATTAAAATTGTAACAGATAAAAGCTAATGCGTTTTTAGAATTGGGAAAAGAGAGGATGGGAGGGTAATTCCCAAGTGAAGCAGTCAGAGGGAAGACGCAGAGACGGCAGTCGTGGCCAGCAGAGTGGTGAGAGGGTGAATGGGTGAGTCGGTGTGTGGGTGGTTGATGAGTTTCAACTTCAATAAAATAAGTTGTGACTGCCGGCATATGTTAATGTGTCTAATGTCACTCATTCGGTGATAAACTGAAAATTCTCACCTTTGGCTTGCGGTGAAGAGCTGAAATATTGCACAAACAGCGATTAGACAATGCCAATGACATTAAACAACTACATTAATGACAAGCACAAATTTTGGAAGATTATTACGTGGCCCAACCCAAAAAATCTACAGCAAATCGTAACACTGGCTGCGAAAACGTATGTAGTAAGCGCCATATTATTCATGAAGACAGACGGTGCACACGTGAAGTGGTGGCGAGTTGTAAACCTCACAGCCGCTCTGCGATATTGCGTGTTAGAGAGTCGCCTTTGGAAGGAATCGATTTTCCGCTGAGCCACACTCGGGGGTGGCAGCAGTGAGAGAATCGAACCCAGCCAAAAATCAAAGTCAGAAAACAGAAACATCTGTAGATTTTCTTGAAACGAAAACTGAACCCAATTGAAATATTCTGCTCCACAATGAAAATTTCCCAAAAAGGATTTGGTTCCCAGTTTAAACCAGTGACACTTGCTCATCAACTCGCACTTTGTAGCTGTAAAATTGAAAGTGGAACTTACTTGATTTCACTGCTACCTTGCTAGAGGGAGCATTTGCTGTGGTCCCTCGGTGGCTTTTATGCCGAAGGTCACGAGTTCAAATCCTGGTCATTTTGTTGCCCCACATTGACGCGAGTGATCATTCTGGGAGAGGACGTGGTCTCGGGGCCAACCCAGACACTTCCTCCATGGCTGCTGCCGTTGGCTGTGTTGTTCGTGGTTCCCCACCTGGTGACCGCTGGGTGGGAGTGGGCTTCTCAGCAGGAGCCCGGTGAAGGGAAGTGCCGCTCCGGGGTGTCCTGGCCAGTTCCGTGGCTGAGAGATGCAACAAGGACGGAGAACACCGCGGGTGCGCTTACAATTAAACGAAGAGTGCCTGTGATAATGACGATAACAAGGATATCTGCATTTACACGGAACTTGCTAGTGCCTCAGCAACTATGCCGCGTTGCAGCACATCTCACAATTCATAATAGATTGTTGGGTTAGGCTACGTAATGATCTGGAAAGATGTTTTGCCGTGTAACCCGTCACCACCCAAATAACGAAACTGTCACACGTGGAAGATTTTAAATATTAAATCATCTCGCAACAGCAAATTTGGGTAATTATTTGATCAAATGAATAAAATCTGTCCATCAATGATGAATTGTAATATTGGCTATGAAACCCGTGCTGAATCACCTCATCTCAAGTATTTAAAGGGCATCTCCAGTGGCAGCTGTTCCCATGCGGTACAAGGTAACTTAAGCACCGACTGGCCTGGAGCGGACATTTCCTAATCGAATGAAAATTGAGGCATTGGCGTTCATCTCCTGTTTTACAGCACTGAGCCTGTGGTGACAATTTCTCATTCATATGGTGGCGGCGAGTCTATCCACAGGACTGTTGATTTCATTACCAAGTGGTATTCATTTCATTGACCCCGGAAGGATGAAGGGCTGAATCAACCCACAAATGTGTAGCCAAACGTTAACTACCTTGCCTGGAATGCAGGGGCCGTGGGTTCTATACCCCGACCCTGAAGACTGTATATTCGGAGTTTGCATGTTCTCCCCGTGATCGCATGGATTTTTCTCCGGGTCCTCTGGCTTTTCCCTCCACATTGAGAAATGTGTTTCGAGCATTTGGCTGATATAAATGTGCACGTGATAGGCCACTTTACTGAGCTATCATTTGTGACCAGGTCACTTCTGTAACAGAGTTATATAGTGGGCCTTACCTGGTAAAAATACAAAGTTCAGTTTAGTAGTAGTACTTAGGCGAGTTGCTGGTTTTATTGTTGTGTTGCAGCAGCTAAGCCTGAAAGGGTTGGTAAAGCATGTCAGGCTGAACACACGCACTGGCGCGCGCGCGATCGGACAAACCACACTGCTGTTATTTTGGTTGGTGACCCCTGCACTAGAGAGAACTTGAGAGAGGGTTATTGGTCTACTCTTTCATACTTACCGGACGTCTTGGAAGATGTGGGTGTACCCATACTTTACCTGACCACACGGGACCTGCCTGTCCACAAACTATGGTGGTGACCAGAGGTGTGGGGTGTAGGAATTTAAGGACTATTTGCGTCATTGTTAAACCTGCCGCTCCGTGAGATGGAATCAAAATCGGCGACCGCTGGATTGTAAGCCCAGTGCACCACCACGGTGGCAGCTCCCTTCATCTCTCAGTTTAAAAAAATGTAAACGTTGTTGTGTTTATCGCTATGGACATTCCTGTACGTTTGCTGCACATATAAGAAATGTCTAGGATGCAAGCAGACTTCACGTACCATGAGGAGGTACTCACCGACTTCAGCAAGCTTGTTCTTTTTGCTGGATGTTTTAAATGCGAATGTTCCCAACAGCATCGGCACCTCCTTGGGCCCTGGGGGGGGGGGGGGGACACACTATGGTGAGAAGCTCACGAGAGGCTGCGTTACCCTGCAGAAGAACGTCACTTTAAGGGCCAACACCAAACACCAAACGTTCCTCTTGCTTTACATATTTGTAGTGAGTCCAACTGAGTTGCAGACGTTGTTCTTCAGAGGCAACACTTTTATTGTAACATCAACCCGTTAACACAAAGGGGCACAGCTAAAACCCATTCGGCAATAACTGTGAACAAACAACTGTACGTGGTCAAGTTCAAATGGCAACATCATGCATCAACATGTGGTACAACCAGCACAAAACATACAAGGCTAGTAGAACACATCACATGCAAAAAGTAATTTATAACTTAAATTCCGCAAAGCACGTACACGTTAATGGAAAGCTGAGGTCCTAAAGTGATTTCAAGGAGGACAAGGGTGGTAAAGTTGCGATCCCAAACATTTTGTTGGGTTATTCCAGAGACTAGGAGGTGCCGCCACACCAACGGAATATAAACCAAGTTTGGTTCCCACATGGGGGGGGGGGGACTTTTGAGTAGGGCGAGGGAGGAGCTTCTAAGAATATGGGAATTTACCCGAGGGATTAAATGATCCAGAATTTATTTGGTAGACTTATTTTGTAACACTTTTGAGGGTGAAGATAGCCCAACACCATTTCCTGTGTAGATCGGGGGGGGGGGGGGTGCTGATAAGAGTTGAAATAAAGTTAACAGTGATGGGTTCTGTAGCATGCAGAGGGAAAAATGAAGTGTGGAGTGGCACAAAGGAACCCGTTATTTTTATGTTTGCGCTAAGCCTACGTTAAGTCTATAAATAAGACAATAGTCAAAGATGGAGAGTATAGCGGCTTTAACAATATCCAATTGTAGTCCGTGTATAGAGTATTTGGCTGCGATAAATGTCCACATGATAAGCCTCTTCATCAGGCTATCATTTGTGTTAGCCAGGTCGCTTCTGAAAAAGAGCGACATAGCTCTATGGGCATTACCTGGTAAAATAACAACAAAGTAACAAGTTTTAGTTGAGGAATGCAAAGTGTATTTATTTGATCGGTCAAGAAAATCAAGTATCTAGCACCGCCAAGGTTGTGCTGAATTTTTTTCTAAAACCTGATATCCTGGGGTGGAGCAAGTTATTCTTTTATCAGTAATTTGTATTTTGAGTAGCCTTTCTAAGATTTTGATCGGAGGCATGAGATTGATAATTAATCAGTCGGTAGTTATACGGGTCATGAAGAGGGCACACAAATGCAGTTTTCCATTCCTCAGGCACTGAGGATTCCTGGATGGAGAGGTTCAAATTATAGGGAGATGGGTTCAGCAAAGAGGTTTGCCACACATCGAATGGCAAAGGGTCGGCAGAGTTTGGTTTAATATCGAATATAAAGATGAGCGATTTGTCACTGGGATGGTTGCCATTTAGGATGAGGGCTTCCCCAGTTTATTGTACAAACCGCGAGCATGCTTTGTGGAGCGCAGGACATCAAATCGAGTGAATTAGGAGGATGCCACCCGCACGGCCGCGGGGTCACCGGTCATCGTTGAACAACAAAGCCCCGCGGGGTCACGGGTCATCGTTGAACAACAAAGCCCCGCGGGGTCACCGGTCATCGTTGAACAACAAAGCCCCGCGGGGTCACCGTCATCGTTGAACAACAAAGCCCCGCGGGGTCACCGGTCATCGTTGAACAACAAAGCCCCGCGGGGTCACCGGTCATCGTTGAACAACAAAGCCCCGCGGGGTCACCGGTCATCGTTGAACAACAAAGCCTCGCGGGGTCACGGGTCACCGGTCATTGTTGAACAACAAAGCCCCGCGGGGTCACCGGTCATCGTTGAACAACAAAGCCCCGCGGGGTCACGGGTCATCGTTGAACAACAAAGCCCCGCGGGGTCACCGTGGCTGGAGTGGGGGTGGCAGCGCCGCTGCTCAGGATCTGCAGGTAGCGCTCGTCGGTGGCGGCCTCCTCCGCCTCCACGTCGCTCTCCTCCTCCAGCGACAAGAGGCCGCTGCCGATACTCGGGGCCACCACCACCGCTTTCCTGGCGCGTAACCCTGGAAAACAATACAACAATATACACCACAGCGCATTAAACAGGTCGCCTCCTTCACACACACACACACATTTGTCCTTTCACATGGATGTTAAAGTTGTTAGTTCACACATCCCACCGGCCACACGGCCTCCTGGGGGAGTGCATCAATTCAGCAGCGTCGGTGTCCCCGCCACCTCTTCATGGGCGCGATTGGCGACGAACCTGCGAGAAAAGTTCAACATCCAACACCAACTCTGCGCCAGTTCGGGGAATCGGTGTCCCACCAGCAGTCAGGCTCGCACGGATGACTGCGCGGGTGAATGAGGGAGCAGAGGAGAATGAATGAGTGGATGAGTGAATGAATGTGAATGGCTGATGGGTGAATGAGGGAGCAGAGGAGAATGAATGAGTGGATGAGTGAATGAATGTGAATGGCTGATGGGTGAATGAGGGAGCAGAGGAGAATGAATGAGTGGATGAATGAATGAATGTGAATGGCTGATGGGTGAATGAGGAGCAGAGGAGAATGAATGAGTGGATGAGTGAATGAATGTGAATGGCTGATGGGTGAATGAGGGAGCAGAGGAGAATGAATGAGTGGATGTGTAAATGACTGATGGGTGAAATAGGGCGTAGAGGAGAATGAATGAGTGAATGAGTGAATGAATGTGAATGGCTGATGGGTGAATGAGGGAGCAGAGGAGAATAAATGAGTGGATGAGTGAATGAATGTGAATGGCTGATGGGTGAATGAGGGAGCAGAGGAGAATGAATGAGTGGATGTGTAAATGACTGATGGGTGAATGAGGGAGCAGAGGAGAATGAATGAGTGGATGAGTGAATGAATGTGAATGGCTGATGGTGAATGAGGGAGCAGAGGAGAATGAATGAGTGGATGAGTGAATGAATGTGAATGGCTGATGGGTGAATGAGGGAGCAGAGGAGAATGAATGAGTGGATGAGTGAATGAATGTGAATGGCTGATGGGTGAATGAGGGAGCAGAGGAGAATGAATGAGTGGATGTGTAAATGACTGATGGGTGAAATAGGGCGTAGAGGAGAATGAATGAGTGAATGAGTGAATGAATGTGAATGGCTGATGGGTGAATGAGGGAGCAGAGGAGAATAAATGAGTGGATGAGTGAATGAATGTGAATGGCTGATGGGTGAATGAGGGAGCAGAGGAGAATGAATGAGTGGATGTGTAAATGACTGATGGGTGAATGAGGGAGCAGAGGAGAATGAATGAGTGGATGAGTGAATGAATGTGAATGGCTGATGGGTGAATGAGGGAGCAGAGGAGAATGAATGAGTGGATGAGTGAATGAATGTGAATGGCTGATGGGTGAATGAGGGAGCAGAGGAGAATGAATGAGTGGATGAGTGAATGAATGTGAATGGCTGATGGGTGAATGAGGGAGCAGAGGAGAATGAATGAGTGGATGTGTAAATGACTGATGGGTGAAATAGGGCGTAGAGGAGAATGAATGAGTGAATGAGTGAATGAATGTGAATGGCTGATGGGTGAATGAGGGAGCAGAGGAGAATGAATGAGTGGATGAGTGAATGAATGTGAATGGCTGATGGGTGAATGAGGGAGCAGAGGAGAATGAATGAGTGGATGTGTAAATGACTGATGGGTGAAATAGGGCGTAGAGGAGAATGAATGAGTGAATGAATGTGAATGGCTGATGGGTGAATGAGGGAGCAGAGGAGAATGAATGAGTGGATGAGTGAATGAATGTGAATGGCTGATGGGTGAATGAGGGAGCAGAGGAGAATGAATGAGTGGATGTGTAAATGACTGATGGGTGAAATAGGGCGTAGAGGAGAATGAATGAGTGAATGGCTGATGTGTGAATGAGGGAGTACGACACGAGGGGAGTGAGTGAGTGCGGGAAGGGGTGAAGCCTTGCCCAGGCCTCACCGTATTTGCGCGCCTCCATGGCGCCGGTCTCTCGTCGCGGCATCCCGGCCGGGCTCCCCTCCTCCCTTCCTCTCCCCGAGAGAACTTTAGACAGAACCTGAGATCCTGAGATCGGCGACGCCAACCCGAGTGAAGGAAAGCGAAAGCGAGTGAAGGAGAGTGAAGGTAGCGTGAGGAGAGGTCGCTGAGGAGAGGCAGTGGACCACGACACCGAGCGGCGCGGTAAACAGAGGCAACGCCGCTCAGTGGTGGGGTTCGCCACGGCCCCGATGCCTCCGTTTTCAGAACAAAATTAAATATATATCGTGAAAATAACAAAACTCAGCACACCACTCGTTAACAACGTGTATAGTCGGCGACGTTTCGGACAATGGTCCTTCTTCGTCGCGGATAGAGCCACTTGGGATAAAGTGGTTAAGAAGAAGAGTTAGTTGGACACTGCACTTGGAGCTTGTAGAGAATGACATTCTTAAAATGTTGTCTGATGTCCAGTTTTATCTCATGGGCATGCGAATCATTTAACGAATTGTAGCGATTGAATGCTTGACAAATCATTAAATAATCAAAAGCATTCCTTATGAAACACATTTATATTTAAAACGAAACGTTATTAAATGTTACTGCCAAAATGCATTGTGGTAAGGTTCTTGTGGGCTATGAGATGTTAACTCCCTCGCCTGGTACACAGGAGGTCGTGGGTTCGATCCTGATCCGAATGCCTGCTGTGTATTTGGAGTTTGTATCTCTCTCATGATCACGGTGGCTATGAGATGTTAACTACCTCGCCTGGTACACAGGAGGTCGTGGGTTCGATCCCGACCTGACGCCTGCTGCTGCTGCTGCTGTATATTTGGAGTTTGTGGCGTCTCTCTCCCCGTGGTCGCGTGAATTTTTCTCCGGGTTCTCCGATTTTTCCCTCCACATTAAAAAAACACGCGCTTAGATTATTTGGCTGCAACTATAATTCCCCACGTATGATGTGTGGCAAGGTCGGCTCTGAAAAAGAGCCAATAGCTCCGAGCTTTGCCTGGTAAACACAATAGTTAAGTTTAGCAGTGGCGTGAGGAATTGCAGGGCTGCGCATTTAGGCTTCAGCCGACAGTGAATGCACCACGCGGCGACTGCATTTTTAAAGCCAATGGATGTCAAAAGACGTCAACATTAAGCTTCATGAAATTACAAATGTAATTTGCAAATAATGCCCATATATTTTAAGTCACAAAAGTTGGACAATTTGTCGCCTTCCCATATCTGTCCATTCACGTAAAAAAACAATTCTAATGTTTTCACATCCATCAGCCACACGGCCTTCTGAGTGAAAACAATTAAGCATCGTGGATTGAACACACGCACACATTGCAGATTTTTAAAATCGAAAACTGCCATTTATTTATTTTCCATCAATACAACACTGTGACATATACAGTAAAATAAAAACCCTACTGTGTATATTAAAAACCCCACGTTATTATACCACCCTGAAAGTGTTCCACGTTCCAATGTCATTGGAGGTAAAGGTCCCTCAGGCGATTTACACGGACGAATGTGAATTCAGACGGTGTCCCCGGGGTAAAGTAATCACGAGCGTCGTTGTGCAAAATATAAATAACAAAATAAATAGCAACAATTAAACAATATATAAATAACAAAATAAATACAAAATTTCGCCTCCTTCAGAAGTCCCTCCATATAAATAATACCCTTCCCAGAAAGGCTGAGTAGATGTGTACAAAATACAAAGACTGCAATTTTGCCTATAAAATGACAACCCATTTTGTGAAGCCATTACCTGGAGATAATTATAACATTGCGTATTTGTATCGCGCTTGCTTATCATCTCAAACTATTGAAGGTCACCCACAGAGGCAGCTCTTCCTGTGCGGCACAATGCGACTCAGCAGCAGCAGCAGAAAGCAGCAATTCGTCTGCCAGTAGGGGGCGATGGCTGCTTGCCGAGTCGGGCTGAACGATTAATCGATTTCAAATGGAAATGGCAAAATGAAACAATGCGATTAGCAAATCGCAAAGGCTGCCATTTGAAAAGTCATGTTAATTCATTATTGGAATTGTTTTAATTTTTATGATTAAAACGTTATTTATTTAACTTAACAATTGTTCTATGTTTGATTGTTCTATATTAATTAAAACATGAAATAAATACATGTTGGAAGCAATTAATATATTTTAAGTTCTCATCCTTGCATTAGAATATATAGAGCAGTTTATATTTTGATGTATCATGTGGTGATGCTCCATCACATGTTTTAAAGCTATTACACAGTGAATACTGAACTGAAGCTTGACTTTAAAAAATTTAATCGCAAATCAAATGTCAGAAAAATCTCAATTAGATATTTCCCCAAATCATTCAGCCCTATTGCTGAGTGCGATCCCAATTAAATCATTTGCAATGTAATGTTTCGACTTGGGGCAATTTGATACCAGCACGCAATGGACGACTCGTTTGGAATGAGCTCACTGGATCTTCGCCATACACTGTGAACAACCACACAGCGCAGAGACTGGAATGGGCAATCCACACCGCAGCGTTAACCAGGGCTGCCTGGCGTGTTCAAACCACGGAGCTCTGCAACGCGCAGCGAATGCGCCGACACTGGGCCTTGTTAGCAAAAACTTCAACCCTTCCTTGTTGCACGTTTCAAATGACCACCAAGTCATCTTCACACAGCGGCAGTATACTGCAATGTGTAACATTTCCCAAGCAACATATATACAACACTGTAGCATTATTCTTCATGCTATACTGTTATTTCATTGGATGATAAAAATGTATATACATATTAAAAATTACCATCATTAACAATTCAGTTATAAAATTACCTAATTAATGCCATTCAATGTTAATCAACTTTACTAAATACAAGTGTGTTTATGGACCTGTGCAAAGAATAGCTCATCTCAAATTGCTTTTCAGGTGAGGCCATGTAATGATCGGCCACATTTTTGCCGTTAAAACCCTCCACTACCCAACACAGCCAAACAAATCAAATTGCCACATGTACAAGCGTTTGAACAATGCGCCACCTATTATTGATTTCAACTCAATGGTAACTTAAAGAACAATCATTTAAGTCACCTGACATTGCGTCAAGCATCCTCGGGACAAGATCTACTAAGTCAGAATACAATTCAGGGAGTCAGGACGGAGGGTCTTATGACACTCACTAGGCCAGACCATTACTTGGCCTTACCCCAAAAGCAATGATCAACCACATTAGCTGCGAAATCCTATTTGTTAAAAGTCTGCCTCAGCAGCAGATCATGCTTTCACACCTGATGTCGGACGCTTGTGTTGCGCCCAAAACGTCATGATTTATTGTACAACTACGTGACTTTACCGTAAGAACCAAAGAGTATGGATTCCTGTAGTCACGAAAGCTTCAAATCAAGATTAAAATTGCAGTGTTTGTGTACCTGTGCAAATAACAGGCACAGTACAGACACACACTGCTGTTTCCAAATGGCTGCACGGCGAGGGATACTCTATTACCCTTTTGACTTATATGTCCAATGCTTTAAGTGAAACGTCATTCAAAACACAAACTCTACTTTTAAAATGCCAAAGAGATCCCAAGTCCACCGAAGCGATTCACGTGGTGTGGTGGGAGGCAGTGGACGGGAACGCACGGCGACCCAAGGGGTCGCCACGCAGGCCCCATTCCATGGTGCCACTAATCCAACGACGCCGGCCACAAGCGGGTCCCCGCTGAATGCGGTGCACATCACGCCCGTTCACATGTACTTCTACGGCCGCCTGGAACGCTCATCTTTCTGATACCAGGAAGCCACAGGAGCGATGCACTTTTAAATACAGATGCAAAAGTAATTTCTTTATAACTTATTGCGCAAAGTTTGTCACCCTTCCCCTGCACCTCCGATTAGCACGTGGGCTACGTACGGTGCAAAGGAAGTTCAACATACATACACAACTGGCCTGAAAAAGGTATCGACAAAAACCCCACGAGCTCTCCATCATCCCCAAGCACCTGAAGAATCAAGCGGCTGTGATGCCAGACGGAGCTTCACGAAGCGGTCAGCTGCTGCTGCTGGACATCCCGCGGTTGCTGCTGCCGTTGGAATCGTCAGCGTCATTGTGCAGAATGCGAATAAAACAAACATCCAGACAATACGCCTCCACCTCGTTAAGCTAATTGTTTTTACACATCCCATGAGGCACGCTTGGGAGTTGCCGAGGCATTTTAACAAGCGCCATATACATGCAAAAATTATGACCTAGCATTTGGCTTCACAAAGTGGGTGTCCATTATTTCAGAGGCCAAACTGAGCCTTGCTATATATTTGACACATCCCATTCGCTACACGGCCTTCTGGAAGTGCTATTAATAATCTTTTTAAGTGCAGGGCCAGATATGGGAAGGACGAAAAATGTCTACTTATTTGTTACTTATATTCTCCACGACCAAGCTGATCATCGTTCTGTGTTGTGTATTATATAGTTTGTGGTCGCTAAAGGAGACATTTAAACATCTGACAGTTCACCAGCATTGGTTCAAGAAAGCTTTACTCTGCTGACGAGACGCCGAATGTTCAAACCGGTCGAGAATTATGCTTGAACCAATGCTGCCGAAATTAAGCATTCCCAGAAGAACGTGTGGCTGAGAGGATTTGTAAAAAAATACTTCTTTTGTTACGTGGACCAACATCAAACTCCTTCAATGTCTATGAAGTGACTTTCATCTCAGTGTCTCGGGGTTGTGTTGCAAAACATAAATCTTATTAAATCTTCCTGTGCAAAATCTTAAGAGGACACTTATGCAGAAAAAGCCACATTAATTGCCCCTTAATATTGACATCACCTGCTCTTGGGCAGTGCATGCAGCCAAACTCGCGAGGTCATTCCGCTCACCTTTTCAGAGGTCAAAATTAATTCAGTGACCGAGCATGATCCTTGTCTTCATAATAAAATCAGTTATAAACCCCAGCATTAAGTTACAGACAAGTGCTTGATAGAATCCAACACAGAGCCGTTCGCTCACGGTGGTCGGTCGTCTCCTTATCTTTCTTCTAGAACTATTAGCGTGGGTGCTATCCTCGTTAACTTCACTAATTTCTCCAAACTTTTGTTTAATCCACGCTGTGTTCAGCCACCATACTGCAGGTCACAACAGCTCACACAACACACTCACCCACTAAACAAGCAGTAAATACTCACTCACCCACTCACCACAGTGCAGGTCACAACACACTCACTTCACTGACAAATCCACTCACCCGTTCAATGACCACACTGCAGGTCACCTCACGTTCCTACTTCTTCCCCTGCGGCTGCACTGCTCCACTTGAGAATTCCCTCCCACCGTCTATTCCCAAGCTCTCATAATAACCTTGCTCAATCAAAACCGTGGTCGCTCTCACCACTTACAACTCACTCGCGATGTTTGTTGCTGGCCACTTGATGTGTAGTTGTTTTTGCACAGATTTCCATTTGCTTCATTGCCGTACTTTTATTGTTTTGCTCTCGTCATTTTCAGACTCATCCTGGTCCCTTGAGTTCTCACCTGGTTCAACAAGTTCAACTTGACCTGCCCTTCTGAGCCTTGGGCTTAGCAACTGTGTTAAAAGAACCCTTTCCAACACCCGTGTACACTTACACTTTGAAAGCGCAAGCAGCACCATACCGTGGGTAAGCTGACACGTCTGAGTGTGTGGTCTGTGTAGAGTGAGCGTGGTGGACAATGTGTGTGTAAAGAAGTGGTGGGAAACCCAGACGAGTTGGTAGGCCACATTAACAGCCCTCCTTCACATCAGCAGGCCGCAAGTTTGACAACGTGCTCGTGCACCAATCGTGAACCCACGTGTCGCCTGAGACACACTTAGACCAGGCCGCCACGAGGGGCTCCAGGGCCGCATGCTGCCTGTGTGCCAAAGGTTTCTCACCACTGGTGTGTAGTGTGTGTGGTGGATAGTTAGTGTGTGTGTAGTGTGTGTGGTGGATAGTTAGTGTGTGTGTAGTGTGTGTGGTGGATAGTTAGTGTGTGTAGTGTGTGTGGTGGATAGTTAGAGTGTGTGGAGTGTGTGTGGGATAGTTAGTGTGTGTGTAGTGTGTGTGGTGGATAGTTAGTGTGTGTGTAGTGTGTGTGGTGGATAGTTAGTGTGTGTAGTGTGTGTGGTGGATAGTTAGTGTGTGTGTAGTGTGTGTGGTGGATAGTTAGTGTGTGTGTAGTGTGTGTGGTGGATAGTTAGTGTGTGTGTAGTGTGTGTGGTGGATAGTTAGTGTGTGTAGTGTGTGTGGTGGATAGTTAGTGTGTGTGTAGTGTGTGTGGTGGATAGTTAGTGTGTGTGTAGTGTGTGTGGTGGATAGTTAGTGTGTGTGTAGTGTGTGTGGTGGATAGTTATTGTGTGTGTAGTGTGTGTGGTGGATAGTTAGTGTGTGTGTAGAGTGTGTGGTGGATAGTTAGTGTGTGTGTAGTGTGTGGTGGATAGTAGTGGTGTGTAGTGTGTGGTGAATAGTGTGTGTAGTGTGTGTGGTGGATAGTTAGTGTGTGTGTAGTGTGTGTGGTGGCTAGTTAGTGTGTGTGTAGTGTGTGTGGTGGCTAGTTAGTGTGTGTGTAGTGTGTGTGGTGGATAGTTAGGATGTGCGTGTGAGTACAACAAGGTGTGGTGGAGTACACACTACTGTCTGCTTCGCGGTTTCACATGAAGCCTTGTGCCTTACCCCCCCCGCCACCGCTTCTCTACCCATGATGCTCGGTGTGGTATGGAAGGCCGGAGGGACAAAGTGCTGCCCGTTCACGGCCGCCGTTGCCGCCGCCACCCTCTCGAGTGCCAGCAGGCAGCGCTCGGCGTGTGCCTTCAGCATGTTGGAGAAGCGGAAGCGCAGGCCGCAGCCCTCGCACGCGTACGGCTTCTCGCCCGTGTGTGTGCGGCGGTGCCGCTTCATGTTGGGGCGGCTCGTGAAGCGCTTCCCGCACGCGTCACACGCAAACGGCTTCTCGCCTGCAACACGTGGCACACACGCACACACACAGATTTGTATTGGTACTCTACACACCGCACACACGACACACACACAGACTCGTACAATTACTCTACACACCGCACATTCGACACACACACAGACTCGTACAATTACTCTACACAACGCACACTCAACACACACACACACACAGACTCGTACAATTACTCTACACAACGCACACTCAACACACACACAGACTTCGTACAATTACTCTACACACTGCACACTCGACACAAAGATCCCCCCGTATGGCCTTCATCCAACTGTTGCTGTTAGCGAGCACCTATGAAGGCCGGCACGGCGGCCGCCTTTGTCTCCCAGTGGCGATGTTTACACATTGCACCAGGTACTCATTTGAGGCTAAGTTGATCTAGGGGAGGCCCAGGCCCAGTTCACATAATCTTCACTGGTATTGGCCGTGAGCGGGAATCAGAACTGGGTCGCTGGGTTCGAACCCCAGCGCGCTAATTACGACACTACCGCACACTCTACACACCGCACACTCTACACAAGATGCGAACTAGTGCTCGACACAGACACACTGGACACACACCCTACACGGCGGCACACACTATCCACCATACACTGGCTTTGAGTAAATGGGTGGCCGTGTTAGTGAAATGGGTGGCTGTATTAGTGAATAAGTTGCCAGGTTAGTGGATGGATTCCTGTGTCTGTGGATGGGTGGCTGTGTTTATGAATGAGGGGCAGTGTTTGTGAATGAGTGCCCTTGTTAGTGGATGTGTGGCCTTGTAGGTGGATGGGTGGGTGCGTAAGTGAATGGGTGGTTATGTTAGTGACTGGGTGAATGGGATCTCACCTGTATGTACCTTGAGGTGCTCATCAAAGTACTGCTTCATGCTGAAGTCCTTCCCACACCACTGGCACATGAACTCCTTGTGTCCCACGTGCACACTCATGTGGTTTCTCAGCTGATAGCGATACATGAAGCACTCAGTGCAGCTCTCCAGCTGCAACGACAGACACCAATCACTCACACATCCAGCCAATCATGGACACTGCCACACATTCACTAACCTGGCCACACATTCACAAGCCACCCATTCACTAACCTGGCCACCCATTCACTAATACGGCCACACATTCACTATCCTGGCCACACATTCACTAACCTGGCCACACATTCACAAGTACAGCCACCCATTCACTAATACGGCCACCCATTCACTAACCTGGCCACCCATTCACAAGTACAGCCACCAATTCACTAACCTGGCCACACATTCACTAACCTGGCCACACATTCACAAGTAAAGCCACCCATTCACTAACCTGGCCACACATTCACAAGTACAGCCACCCATTCACTAATACGGCCACCCATTCACTAACCTGGCCACACATGCACTAACCTGGCCACACATGCACTAACACGGCCAGTGGGGGCAGCACTGTCAAATCACCGACAGATGGGGTATATTTATTTTTTAACACCGCACAAAATTCCAAGCGGCCAGCAATAACCAGCACCATCAAGACACGTAATCAACAAGAGTTGACAGGTTTCTTGAATTGAGCAAAGTTGTTGTAAGAACTTGGGAAAAAGAGAGAATGGGAGGGAATTACCAAGTGCAGCAGTGCAAGGATGAGGCAAAAAGAGAAGATTTGTGACCTGCAGTGTTGTGAGTGAATGCGTGGGTGACTGAGAGAGTGAATGTCATCTGTAGTGTGGTGGGTGGGTGAGTGAGTATTTATGTGACGTGCAGTATGATGGTGAGTGTGTGGGTGCGCTACAAACCCGGAAACCCGAGTTAGTTTCCCACTCACGGTCAACACCGATGACGATTATCTAAACCATTTCTGGGCCTCCCCTAGGTTGACTCAGCCTCAAATTAGCACCTGGTGCTGTGTAAACATTGCCTCAAGGGAGACAAAGGCAGCCGAGGATGCTGACGGCCACCCAACCCCTCGTGTGCCGTGCCAGCCTACATAGGTGCTCGCGAACAGCACTTGCCCCGACAGTCTGTTAAGGCTATACAGGGGATCCATAATGTAGGTTTTTGTGTTAGATCGCGTAAATATAATGGGTCGTTAAACCCGCCATCAATGTTGTGGATTTGCTCTCCAACACACCGGTGTGCTGTACTAATAACGACTTGGCATGTTCTGTTTACGTGACAAACCTTAATAATTGGCTGTGTTGGGTGGTGGCGGGTTTAACGACACATTTATATTAACCATGATCTAACCCAAAATACCTATATTATAGACGATATTGGTCGCGAAAGACTCCGTGTTAAACTATACAGGGGATGTTTGTTTTTACGTGACATGCAGTATGATGGTTGGCCGAGAGGCTGTTTGAGTGGGTGCCTGAGTTGTTGTAACCTGCAGCGGGGTGGTTGGACACAGTGGAGTGAGTCAAATCTGGTAGACGACAAATTCCTTCAACACGAGTGGAGGAATCACTCGAGTGAAGTACGTGGAGGGCTGGCTCCACGTGCGCTGTACGTGCGTAGATGAACCCGTAGCCGACCGCACTCACCGGAGGTGCTCTCACACTCGGCTCTCACCTTGCACTTGTACGGCCGGAGTCCCGAGTGCTTCATGCTGTGCACCTTGAGGGACATGCTGCGTTTGAAGGACTTGCCGCAGGTCTCGCACGTGTACGGCATGTCCTCGCGGTGAGCTACGGGAGGGGAGGTGGATGACCGACAAATCGAGTTACAAAGTTCCCTCGAAAATATTCACAGTATGTACGTTGAACTTCTTTAGCACCGTACGTAGCCAACCGTGGCGATCAAAGGTGTGGTAAAGCCTCTCATACCCCGTTTAATATAATTAACACATTTCTTTGGTGATGTTGGTTTTCTTTGGAACTGCTTCTTGTGTTTAGTTTGTTGTCCTTCCCCCATACCTCCAATCAGAACGGTTGGCTACGTACGGTGCCAAAGGAGTTCAATATACGTACATACACACGGCAGTAGTGCACGAGCACACAAAACGAACGCACAACACATTGTTCCATAACACTGCGGACTTCTTCATGTGCCGATTTAATATTGATGTAGAGGGACCCTAATTTTACATCGAGGTGGCTAACGAGCCATATGATTCGTCAGGAGTAGCTGAGTGGTGAATCTTCGCTATCGCGATGCCTCCTCCATATTCGCGAATTGGTCACCGAGTCGTTCTACGCTCCGTGGTTCTGTTGTGGGTGGTGACTGCAGTTGTATTATTTATATATATACATATACAGGGGCACCACGGTGGCAAGATGTTAACTACCTTGCCTGCGATGCAGGAGATGGTGGGTTCGATCCCGACCCTGGCGCCTGTATATTTGGAGTTTGCATGTTCTCCTTGTGATCGGGTGGATTTTTCTCCGGGTCCTCTGGTTTTTTCCTCCACATTTAGAGTATTTGGCTGCTATATATTTCCATGTGATAAACCACTTCGTTGAGCTATCATTTATGGCCAAGTCGCTTCTGAAAAAGAGCTCTATGGCTCAGTGGGCCTTACGTGATAAAATAAAAATGGTTGAGTTTAATTTCCCATTTGTGCATCAATATTAAGTATCTGCATCTGCTGCCATGGTTTGTGTGCGGATGCGTTTCAGGGTTGTGGTCCCCTGAGCTTCACGGAAGACTGAATCCTGGAATCGTCTGCGTCGGGTCTTGCACGAGGAGGAGGTGTGACTTCTCATTAATTTTATTAATATTTCCAAGCGTAATTTTGCACCTCCGCTTAGCACGGTTCGCTACGTACGGTGCGAAAGAAGTTCAATATACATACATTAGGGTTGTGGAGCCGCACTGTCGAAAGTTTAGGGCATGGGTCCAAAAGGAAAGACTTATAAAAGAGGTGACGTATCGGACAATGCGGCTCTCCGACACATCACATAGATGATGAAGGGCCATTACTGGCCAGGCTTGCTTGAACTAATGCTGGTGAACTGTCAGATCATCTATTTTAGGCAAAGGCCCTCTGTGGTAGACATGGTTCCTGATTCAGCACAATACCTAAACAATAATTACATTGTATATTATCCACAATGGGGCGAGTGGTTGTTTTGTGCCGTGTGTGTGTATATGCGTGTATATATGTGGGGAGCGCTGGTGTAGCGAACAGTGTATTGCGCTACGAACTTGGTGACCATCCGAGTTTGATTGCCACTCATCGCCAACATCAGTGACAATTATGTTGTCACGGATGTCAAATGAGTACCTGGTGTGGTGTGTAAACATTACCGCAAGGGAGACGATGGCAGCCAGGAGCGGTGGTGGCAAGCCACCCTCTCGTGTGCCGTGCTGGTCTTGATAGGTGCTCGTTAACAGCACTTGCCCCAAAGTCTGTTATGGCTGTATGGGGATCTTTGTCTTTATATATATGTCAGGTCAAGCTGTGGACTCACCGACCAGATGTTTCTTGACCTGGGCCAGGGTGTAGAATTTCTTTCCGCAGATGTCACAGGCAACGTTCCTCTCTGCGGGGCTGTGCACAGTTTTCATGTGCTGCTGCAGGTACCACAGCTTCTTGAATGACTTCTCACATGTAAAGCACTGGGGGGAAAGACAAAGATCCCCCATATAGCCTTTAACAGACTGTTTGGGCAAAAGCTGTTAGCGAACACCTATGAAAACCGATACAGCACACGAAAGGGTGGGTTGCCAGCACCACGCCCAGCTGCCTTTGTCTCCCTAGTGGCGATGTTTACAACCCGCACCAGCTACTCATTTGAGGTAGAGTCAACCTAGGGGAGGCCCAGAACGGATTCAGATAATCGTCACTGGTGTTGCGCGGGAATCAAACTCGGGTCGCCGGGTTCCTAGTGCGGCGCGCTAACCGCTGCACCACCGCTCCGCACACACACAGAACCGTCCAGAGCAACACACACAACAGATTTACTTTTTTTAACAGCAATTCGGAAACCTGTGGCCGGTCGTCCTGCGACAGCCCGCACCTGGATGCTGCGCTCGCAGTCCGTCTGCCGGTGTAGGCCGAGCTCCTCCTCCCGCGAGAACCTCTTGGGGCAGCGCTCGCAGGCGAGGCTCCGCCGGTGCCCGGTCGCGAGGTGCCGGCGCAGCCGCGTCTCCCCACGCAGCACGCGGCCACACGTGCTGCACGGGAAGCGACGACTCCCCTCCTCCTCCCCCTCCTCCTCCCCCCCTTCGTCTCCTTGTCCTCCTCCTCTTCCTCGTTGGTCTTCTTTCTTCTCTTCCGACAAATCTTTTTCTTCTTTTCTTTCTTTCCCTCTTCCTCAAGCCTGCTTTTTGGAGGAGGGGGCCCTACCGGCCCCCCATTGCTGCTCGCTCTGTGCCGAGGACGCAGCCTCCGCTCGTTGCCGAGCTGCTGCTGCTGCTGCTCCGCAGCCTCCTGCTTCACCCGCTCCTCCTGCTGCTCCTCCTCCTGCTTCACCTCCTGCTTCACCCGCTCCTCCTGCCGCTCCTCCTCTAGTTTCACTTCGTCTTGCCCGCAGAGCAACGCCATTGGCTCAGAGACCTGGGAGACGGCAATGTGCGGTGGGGGGCAGGTTTCTGAGGTGCAGAGGATGGTTCATGGTGTTGATGGGTGGGGTGATGACGGTGATGGTGGGAGTGATAACAATGTTGATGGTTTAGGTGATGATGTGTGGGGTGATGATGGTGTTGATGGTAATGGTTTAGGTCAGGGGTCGGCAACCAAAATAACAAAAAGAGCCATTTCTTTCCAATTCGGTACAAAATTCAGTATTTCAAGAGCCACAATGCATCTGAGTACATACTGTACATACGTACATATCGTCAAGAAGCAGCCCGTAAAGAGCCGCATGCGGCTCCGGAGCCGTAGGTTGCCGACCCCTGGTTTAGGTGATGATGAGGATGAGTAGGGTGATGGTGATGGGTTGGGTTATGGTGGCGATGGGTTGGTTGAAGGGTTTGGCGATGTCAAACATAGAAACCTGGATGCATACTGAGTCATTACGCACCCTGTGGATCTCCTTACACTCGCGATGATGACAATGACGCAGGATATAGTGATAGTGACAATGATCACATTTACAATTCAGATTTTACAATTTTAAAACCACAATAGGAATTTACACTGTGTCGAATCGACGATGGCAATAGTGTTGGTCTAACTGGTGACGCTGATGACGGCAATGCTAATTGATGCTGGTCACAATCTGGATATACGGAGGTCTAATATACACATGTATTTGAAAACTACCGATACCGATGAAACGGTGTTGCAATTGTGCTTTACAATTTGGTTTCACGGAACACTTAGACTTGCTCGACTTGCAATCGGAAGAATGTTGAATCAAATATCCTGGTGGCAGGTTAACTCAAGCAAATTAAATGAAAAACCACCTCGTTGTATGGAGCCTGGCCATGATTTTGGGAATGTAAATTTAACACCACTGGCTCAGTGCTTCAGATGAGATACACACCATCGCTGCCCTGTTAGGTGATGGTACTGACGATGGTTGTCGAGCAAGGGTGTTCAATGCCTGAAGGAAGACTTGCAGTGGTGGACACATAGTGGGGTGCAGGGCCCAGGACAAGACACCCCCCCACCCCCAATGCCTCAAGTATTGCAACTGACACCGTGACATCGAAACGTGGGGCTCCAAAAGCGCGGGGCACGGGACGGTCACCCCAATTTGCCGTACACTAGGGACGGCTCCGAGTGGACACGTGCAGGTATACCATAGTACGTCAGACCGGCGCTTCTCAGAACACCAGACACGCACACCGACACTTCTAAGAGCGGTTCCCTATCCCTATGCCATGAGGTTTCCACAGAGGGGAAACAGCAGTGAGCATGGGCTGCTGCAGAACATAAGGGTTTCCAACCGGCACCGGAAACACGCATGGTTCTAAGCATGCAAGGCCATTTAATATTTAAATTGCAGTGAATTTGTAACTTTTATTGTATTTGGGCTACAACACCAGCCGCACAAAAAAGTACTTGTTGCTTGCAAGTGATGCAATCCACTCTTTGTAATATTTTGCACTTTGGTAAATCCACGCAAACGTTAATTACCTGGTGGTAGCTGTAGTGGGAATCGAACCGCTGGCTCCGTGTGAACAGGCTCAGAGGCCAGTGCCATGACCGCTAAGTGACGCTGTCAGTCCAGCAGTGACACATGCGGCTGTTGTAGTCGAGAGGGAAATTCAAGTCCAAGTCCTTTCTCCAGTGTATGATGAAACCAGCCCCTCTGATGGTGAAGGTTGCTTTTCCGATAGTGGTCATGGCGATGATGTTGTGGTGAAACCAGCAAATTGGACACTGGAGGATTCTGTAGTGATAGTTATGATGGTGGTGGTGGCGTTGTTGGCCATTGTACTATTGGCCATGGGTCATTGCATTGGTGGTAAATGAGGCAATGGTGGTGATGGTGGCGATGGTAGTGGTGGCGGAGGTGAAGAATGCAACTGCAATGGGTGTTCACTTCCCGTCATATCTAAATGTGGAGTTGGCAACCCCAGTAAAACCTGAACAAAAACTCTCCCCAATGGGCCGATGGGCTGGAGACACAAAAACACAAACAAAAGAGAAAAATGACAATGACAAAAGCAACAAAATGGAATAAGAACTCATATTTAACGCAAACATGTAGCATCAACTGGAAACTAATATAAACATATCAGCTTTTAATGTCCACTTGTAAATACGAGTTCACGATTGATTTTTGGGTTAGGCCATGAAATATTGGTCAAATTGGGTGTCTTAGGACTCCTCCACCACCGACACTGCCAAACAAATGAAACGGTCCCCCGGTGTACAATCAGAATCATCGTTTAAACAGGAGGAATCCAATGAGCTATGAAGCACGTTTTCACAGATGTCCAGGAGCCAATCTTTTCTATGCTCACCAGTAAGTTGAAGAATATTTAACAATTATAGATGCGACATTTCGCTTGAAAGTATGTCACACATCTTTAGGACAAGATTCAGGGTGTCAGGACTATTTCACCTGTTGCTTGGGTCGGGGTCAGCGCTAGATTTGCGAATATCAAATTTCACAGGCACAAATAAACTTGCCAAAATGAGAAGCTGCATTCAGATGTTCACTCTAAACAACCGTACAACATAATACATTCATTTAACGATTTAGAATGTTGAAAATGCTCGCCGTTTCTGTTTAAGAGGCATGGGAAACCACTGAGAGATGCAGGAAGGCAGCAGCCAGGCGGTGAGCCGTCGCAAACGATTGGCCAAGCTCTGCAGTCCTCTGTATATTAAGCTGTTGTTCGTTAATTCATGAGTTTTTTAACATCAAAACTAAACAATTAAACAAAAATATATACTGGACCAGGTAAAGCCCACTCAGCTACACATCTCTTTCAGAAGCCACAAATGATAACTCAACGAAGCGGCTTATCGAGTGGAAAAACCGAAGGACCTGGAAAAAATCTACGCGACATTGGAGACACGCAAAATACAAATATACAGCAGCAGCAGGCGTCAGGATCGGAATGAAACCCACGACCTCCTGTGTATCAGGCGAGGGAGTTAAACTCACAGGTGCGAGGTGGCACCGTCCCTTTCCCACCCAGATGAGCATTAGCTATGGGAGGAACCCTAAAGACACCCATGCAGAACAGGAGGGGAGAGAACACACAAACTCCACACCGAACGGTGCCCAATGTATACGCGTCCAAGTGAATTCCGACTCAAATGAGCCCCGATGCGGCGCTCTCACCTCCTGTTCACAGTCCTGAACCAGTTGTGGGATATTCCACGTTCCTACGGCGGGAGCGAGTCCATCCAAATGACCACAAACAGTGGCGTGGCTTTAATTTATCGAACCAATCGGAATGTTGCAAAGTTAAAATCCTGGTCAGGGTATTACTCAGCCCAACATCGATACAATCAGCGCCACTTTGTGTGAAGTCAAAAGTGGTTGTCAAATGGAAGTACTCGTCTCCGCCATAGGAACGTGGAATGTTTTCCTCTGGCTCTGCAGGGCTGTGATTAGACGAGCACCAATGCCTCAATGGTCACTTGAGCAGAAGATCACTTTGATACCATTCCCAAGGGCGCATGCCCCCCCCGCTCCTGGCCGCCTTTGTATCACAGCAGAGAGCGTCCCAACACCGCGGGGTTTTTAAATCCGAGAGCGAAACTCCGATCCTCGCTCCCCGATCCAACCTCCCCGCTCCTCCCTCCACGGCGCTCACCCTGCAACCGGCGCCTCGCGACGCCAAATCCGAAGCCCTCGAGCAGGGCCCGCTAAGCACAGGCAGAGCGGAGTGGAGGGAGCGGGGAGAGCAGAGAGAATGGAGGGAGCGGGGAGAGTTGAGGAGCAGAGCGGAGTGGAGAGAGCGGGGAGAATGGAGGGAGCGGGGAGAGTGGAGGGAGCGAGCGTTGACAGAGAGAGGAGAGAGCAGAGAGTGGATAGAGAGTGGAGGGAGGAGAGAGAGTGGAGGGAGTGGAGGAGTGGAGCGTTGACAGAGAGAGGCGAGAGCAGAGAAAGCGCGCGGGGGTCGCCTCCTCTGCGGAGACGGAACCAACAATCGACTCCGCGGTGACGTGTCCACCACGTGCCGGATGCTCCCGAGCGCCATGTTGGTCAGGGAGAGTCTGCGCTCAGCAATCGAGGGGGGAGGACTCGCGCCGTGACGTCATCCACACGCGACGCGCAGCCCCAGCACGGAGCGCACGTTGGCGTTTGTAGCCCCTTGCCAACATGGCGCCCGCGTAGCCTCGTGGGCGAAGCGCGGCCGCACGCCCCACTCGGAATCTTCATCTCGCCTGCAGGAGGCTTCCGCTGGGCTCTGAAACTCTTTTGTCACCAGCGTCCGGGGGGTTACAACAACAATAACAACAATATAAAAACACGACAGGGGTGCAGAGTAGAGGAAGGGTAAACAAAGCACCTAAAAAAATATACAAATAAAAATAAACAACGGTTTTTATCTCACCCGTGAGGTTGGGTGGTTAAAACCGGTTTCCAGCGTAACCGGTAATCTATGAAAAACGCTAAAACCCGGTTATGAGTTTAGCACACTTCAAGATTTTGTTTGTCTAATCGCATAAAAATGACGCACCACCTGCTTTAAATGGGACGTTAAAGAGTCCGTGGCGTCAGTCATAAACAATTCGGCCCATTGTGTGCCGGTGTCATGGTCCAAATGGGAAAAAACGACCGCAAACTCCTCAATTGGGATTAAATTAACAGGACCCTGCGGGGTGGGCTGGTAGGAATAATACTTAGTACCGGTACAGGGATATCGACCGGGTATAGAGGAGTTAAAGACAAAATTACTGTATTCTAGTGTAACGTAATTAAAAGTGTTTTTTTGACAAGAAACGCTGTGAGATTTAAAAACCCCCCAACACCACCCCCACCACCACCTTCTGCACTAGGCCTCGCGAAGCCTGCCGCACTAGGCCACGCGCCGTGCTTTTCGTGAACAATTAAGGCGATTAAATGTATCTCGTCTCTGTGTTAATAAATGTTTCTTGTCTCTGTGTTAAAAAAACGTGCTACGTTTCAGGAAAGTATTTTTTTTTAAATAAACGTGCTGCGTTTCATCTCTGTGTTAATAAGCATGCCGCACTAGGCCTCGCGAAGCCTGCCGCACTAGGCCTCGCGCCGTGCTTTTCGTGAACAAATAAGGCGATTAAATGTATCTCGTCTCTGTGTTAATAAATGTTTCTTGTTCTCTGTTAAAAAAACGTGCTGCGTTTCAGTAAAGTAAATTTGAAGCGAAGTTTATTATTACACTTGTTAAGCCAGGAAAGCCCCACTGAGTCTAAAGGTTTTTGTAGGGTCCTGCCAAGTGTTTGCAGTAGGGGGCGATGTTGCTACACCGAATCGGACGATACGAAGGGAGAGATTGAGGCCTAGTTCTAGCTTTAGGCCTAGCTGTAGGCTTTAGGGCGCTGTGAGTTAATTTTTAATTTAAACGTTTTAATGATTTATGTAAAAGCTTTAAATTTAAATGTTTCTATTTAAAATCATGAGGGAATGTAACATTGTTAAACATAACTCCCTTTCACACACGCGGGGGTACGATACGAAGGGAGACTTTGAGGCCTAGTTCTAGGCTTTAGGCCTAGCTGTAGGCTTTAGGGCGCTGTGAGTTTTTTTTATTTAATTTCAAAGTTTTAATTAAAAGCTATCTCAGGGAATAAGGGAATGTTACACGTGTCATGCCAAGTGTTTGCAGTAGGGGGCGATGTTGCTACTAGGATAGCGTCACTGAGTCTAAAGGTTTTTGTAGGGTCATGCCAAGTGTTTGCAGTAGGGGGCGATGTTGATACACGGACGGACAGTCGGACGGACGGACACATTAATCTATTGGTGGTCTGGTCCACTTCGTTCCTACCAGTATAACCCCCCCCCCCTGCACCCCATAGTGCTAAGACTTGACAGGACCCTCGTGAAAATGAGTCTTGTGACTCTTTCTGAGTAAACACGCGAGAATACTGCAGCGACGAGAGCGCTGGGTCGCCTTGGCACTCACAAGAGGCCGCCACATAATTCCGGGAGAGTCGCGTTTGCAAACGTGACTTGGGTGACCAGAATGACCAACGTTACACAAATAATACAAAAGCATCTCGTGTACCGATGTAGAACTTCCTTTGCACCGTGCTAATCGGAACTGCGGGGGGAGGCTAACAAACCAAACACAAAAAGCGATTTTAAAGACATGAGTTTTCACATCAATTCCTGCAAATAGTGCGTGAGCTGTCTGATGCTACGGAGCTGTGTCAGAGCTTCATCCACATCTTTGCGGAATGGCAGCAGATGCCCAGCAGCTCATGGCACTCGTGACAATCGAGGTTATTCGAGTTTCCCGTTTCTAAATGTACTGCATAGCACTTGGCCATGATGTTGACCCCGTGATGTTGACCTTACGGGGTTTTCCGGCCACGGATTTATGCAACAAAAAAAGTTCTTAAGTTGCAACTTCCAAGAGCGACTTGGAGGGCACTGCGATGTATTTGGGGCATCACTGTCTGCGAGTAACAGTGATTCATATCCACTCATGGGGCTGCCTGCCAATCGAAAAAAAACCCGATTTGGAAACGTTTATTTTTAAGTTGCCCCACCACCACCCGACACAGCCAAATACGCGTCACGTGTGCAAGCGTTTAACAATGCGCCAATTATTGTTTTAGCTCACCGGTGATTTAAGAACAATTATCACCACCAAGTTTTGCAATTATATCGACAGCGTTTTAATTGAATCTGCATCTTCAGGTCAAAACCCAGGAAGTCAGAATAACTGCGTTGCCTGACCCAGCTTTTTAAATCGGTGTGTCATGACCTCACAGGAACAAGTAATCACATTCAAACTATAGATGACAAATTAAACTATTAAAAATGTATTCTAATTTATCTAATTGATTTCACCAATAACCTCTCAGAAGAGCCAGCATCATCTCTAGAGTTCATTTTGTATTTGAGCTGTGAAAAAACATCTGCAACAATGTGATCACACATACAATAATATGAAAACGGCTCCGTTCTACAAATAGAATAGGTTTTTATTTTACTGTTTAGTCAGACTATTCAAGCAAGGCCTCGGCCTTTCACTTCGTTCCATTTCATCTTCGCGCCTTGGGTGTCTCCGCAGAACCGCCTCTGTCCATGATCTTGGAGCGGAATGATCGAGCCAGGTCTCTGTATGGTGTCTCGGAGTCCATGGGGGAACGTGGGAGATGCAGGAGGGAACGGACTCGTGGAGCGCGCAGAGCCAGGTTCTGAGCCAGACCCACAGCGCTGGAACTCACCCAGTACAGGCTCACGGCCTGCGGGGGACACAGGAGGCACAGGTGAAAGATCACACACTCTCCACTCTTACACACACGGGATATGTTCTCAGTGGGTTACCGGTGTCTGGCTACAGTTTAGGGTTATATGAAGCCGGGCGCACATTTGGCATGCACTTAGCAGGAAACAAAGGTATTCCAGTAAAATTCGTTAATTCCAACTGGGAGGACTAACATTTTACTGGAATGTTTTTTTATGCTGTCATTTGTGACTTGGCTGAGATCATCAACTAAAACAAAACCTATATCCTGCTCAAATGAGTATTGAGGCATTGGTGCTCATCTCCTGTTTACAGCCCTGAGTCAGTGGTGGTAATTCAACATTCCTATGGCAGGGTTGAGTGTCTATCGAACAACCAGTTGACTCCCCCACATAGTGGTATTCTTTTTAGTGACCCCACAGAGATGACGGGTTGAGTGAAGCCCCAACGAGGATTTTAACTAGCGACCCTCTGCTTGTGAGCTGTTCGGTCTACGGCTGAACTACCTGGCTCGGCACGAGTGCAGCACTTCGCAACCGGTGGGCCGCACAGCACCAGCGTACTGCGATAGAACTCGCAGGTGTGCCGCAGTATTTTCAGAATTACTGTACAGGAAAGAACCTCAAGCTCCCACCTCCTGCCCTCCCCTCTCCAATGGTCACGCAAGCGCAGTACGGCAGCAGCAGCAGACAGCTGTCATCCTCCACCCCCGGTCCTCTCAACCCCCTCGGTCTCGCATGCGCAGGGGGGTAAACGGCCGCCACCAGCGGCGTGTATAGTGAACTACGATACAATGTTCCCAGCCGGGCCTACCGTCGGGACGTTTTGCTTCGGTGTGCCGCGTAGATCTAGCGGGCTTGAAAGTGAGTGCCGTGGAATGAAAAAGGTTGCGGAGCACTGCTCTGACTGGCTCGCGAGCTGTGAGCGTGAGCATACGCACCGACGGGACCGCTGCGGCGACTGGCACCATCACTATTGACAGCAGTCGGATGAAGTTTGTAGCAAGCCGCTGCATGCGCGACATGTCCTTCCTCTGCAGCGCAAACATCTGCAACACAGACATGGACAGCTAACTATAAAATTTTACCAGGTAAGGAGATACTTAATATTGATGCACAAATGGGAAATTAAACTCAACGATGTATATTTTACCACGCAAGGCCCACTGAGCCATAGAGCTCTTTTCCAGAAGCGACCTGGCCGCAAATGATAGCTCAACAAAGTGGCTTATCACCACTGGTGGAGCCAGTGGGGGGGGGGGGGGGGTGGCACGTGCCCCCCCAATGATCCGATCGAAATCCCTAATTTCGATCGGATCATTGGGGTTTATTAGTAATAAATCGGCATTTTGCGACCCCCACTGCCACCATATGAGATGAAAGGGCAATAGTCTGAGTCCATAATTGGCAATAAGTAACTGCAAAGCAGTTATAAGTGATTCAGAATTGTGCGCAGTTGCGTATATAGTACACGACTTCCCTGAAGGCATTCACCTTCAGCGAGCGCGATGCCGATCACACACGGTTCAAATTCGAGCCTCGATCGATGGCTGTGCCATCGCCGCACACGCGTCGAATAAAAAGCAAGGGACAAGTCCTTACTTACTAACAACTATCATTTTTCATTGCTGGAAGGGTTGCCCCTCCTACCTGAAAATCCTGGCTCCGCCATTGCCTTATCACATGCAAATTTATATCAGCCAAATACTCTAAATGCATGTTATAAATGTGGAGGGAAAAACCGGAGGACCTGGAGAAAAATCCACGAGACCACCATGGGGTGAAAGAGACATGCAAACTCCAAATATATAGGAGTCAGGGTGGGGATCAAACCCACGATCTCCCACATACCAAGAGGGAGTTAACATCTCGCCACCATGGTGCCCCTTGCTGCCATCCATCAGCATAACACACAAACCCCGCCCCACAATACGATAGTGCGTAAACATAAACATGGCTTTTAATCGAGCTTACAGGGCCGCAAAGCACAGGCAGAGACAAACCAACAAGAGAACAGGCAGGAAGTGCAGGCAGACACCGCAGGGACCTCCTCCGTGGAGACGGAGTGGAACATAAGAAGCAGGTGGTATTTTGAATAATGAACCGCGTTTTTACTGCTGCACCGGGAGATGGAATCGAATCGGTGATCTCTGGATTGTAAGACCAGCGTGCTACCCGTTAGACTACAGCGGCGCCCTTAATATCTCTGTTCACAAGGTCACACGTTACGTTTATTGGTTACGAGCAGGAAGTGCCCGGGGGAAAAATATATTTCAAAACTTGTCTTCTATTAAAAACATAACATATACATACACAAACACTAAGCTATTGTGAAAGCCCGGCGTTCCGTCTGTCTGTCCATTTGTCCGTCAACAAAATTCTAAGAGGCTTGTAGAAGTCCGGGGGCTTAGTGTGTGTGTATCTGTCTACTTTGTTGAAACGTAAACCCAACAGTTTGTTAGTTAAAAGCGTTGCAAGGATAGGCATGCACAGACAGACAGACAGAGAAACAGACAGACAGAGAAACAGACAAACAGACAAAAAATTACATTTATAGCTAAGAAGACATATGGATAGTCCTCCACTTACGAACGAGTTCCGTTCCCAAAACCCGTTCGTAAGTCAGGTGTTAGTAAGTATATGTATGTATGTACGACACATCATATATATTTTTCACTATTCGGTTACGGGCGACAAGAAACAGCCGATTTTAAAACCCTAGTTGGAACCCCCCCGTCTTTCCCTCCCTAGTTAAGTCTTCATCTTCCCCCAAGTGCGAGGTCCCCACTTGGCTGGGGCAGTGGGGGCCCCTATTCCCCTCCTTCTCATGCCCTTTCGTGTGGTTCCATCACACCGGAGTGGATTACCGTGGATTTTCTGTACCCCGTCACTGGAATATTTCGGAGTGTTGTATCGGGCTGGCATTTTGTTGTAATAAAAATGTGTTTCAAGAAACTCGAGTTGGAAATAACGTCACCTTGGTTCAACAACTTCATCACAAACCTCGACAATGAGCAGGTTTATGAGGCCGAGAGAAATGGGCAGAATCCACGTGGCGTCCGGTAGCGTGAGATTGGAAAACCACAACATTCCTCCTTCCAGGAGGCCTCCATACACGCTTGACTCTGCAATCAACACCACACTTTATCAGTTGCGCATTATCCCCCACTCTCAATACCATCCACTCCTTTGCAGATAACACACTTTACACATCACTCATTTAAATCACAGACTGAAAAGTATTTAGTTGCCCAATGTGCAGATACTTTCCAATCAATCACCACTGACTTCAAAATTAGTTTGATTGGGATGACAAAAACCAAGGCATGTTCAACTCAGAAACTCAATCAACGATTATATCACGTAAGGTTGACAATTCCACAGTTCCGTAACAATGATGTTCTTATACATACTAAAACCATTTGTCTGCTTGGCACAGCGACCTCAGCTGAGCTGTCATGGAACGGTTGTGTTGGTAATCTGGCTAAGGAGGCATCTAAGAAACTTAGTCGTCTTCTCCGTGCCAAAGCGTTTTCAACTGTAAATAATCATTACTGCTGCTACACACAACACAGAGTCAGTTGGAGCTAGAATCCTGCTGCTGTGATATCTGTGGTGGAGTGCCCAATTCCTACATCACTGCACCTGAGTTCAGAGTAGAGTCGTCAGGGTGATTCATGATCCAGCACTCAAGGACTCACTCCAGTCACTCGCTCAGTGATGGCCAGATACCTCCTTAGCACTCTTCACTACTACCATGGATACTTTCACCGTGAAATTCACCCATTGATTCCTACCAATGTTGAGCACTCTGTCGACCAAACGGTTTTGTCTCAACCACACTGTTCAACCACCACACTGCAGCTCACAATAACATACTCACTAATCCACTCCAACACCTACCTCACTGCACCTGACAGATTTACGAGTAAAGACGTTAGGGTGAGTAATGATCTAGAATTCACTTATTCAATCCAGTCAGTTGTTCACCAGTGGTAATTCACCCCCGTTAGTGGGTAGGTTGGTGGTGGGTTGGTGGTGTGGGTGTATGTGAAGTATGGGAATTGACGGCAGGAACTTCTTGACGGGTAACACACTTTTATTAAATCCTTCAGGTATCACAATACAACGTGTGGTCTTCCTTCTTCCTCCGACACACTCCACTAATCTCGTGTAAGCTCTAGGCCTCTGGCTACACACCATATACTCGACTCGTGTAAGCCCTATGCCTCTGGCTACACAATACACTCGACTCGTGTAAGCCCTATGCCTCTGGCTACACAATAATACATTCGGCTCGTGTAGACCTATGGCTACACACACTACACTCGCCTCTGGGTTACACAGAGTCCCGGTCCCCTTAGGACAGCGGGGCTAGGTACCGCAGGGCTCTAGGTCTTCATCCCCGTCTTCATTCTTCGCTGGTTACACACTGCCCTTACGCCTGTGTGCATCCCCTTTTATAGCCCCTGCTCACGAGAGGCGGAGCTGATGCGTACTTCAGCATGAGCATCGCTCCTTAATAAACCAATCACGACGCACTCTCTTTACGATCCGGTTTCCCCAGCGCGTGTTAACACTCCTCCACCAATCCCACCGCGCTGCCACCCGGTCACTCCCTCTCAGCATGTCACCGGTCCACAGCCAATCAGTACCCCGTAACCCACGACCCCGCGCTGACCCCTGATCCTCCACCGTCAGCGCGCGTCACCACCTACACAGCCAATCATCACACACTGTGCATACGATCCTTAATCCCAGCGCGTATCACCTCTACATCACCCCCTCCCACATAGCTTGCAGCCGGCCCGGCTGTTAACCTACAACACAACATAACGCAACGCAGTAATAAAGAACTCCCCATCCCAGTGTGCCCCGTAACACAACAACAACAACATAACACAACCTTAAATACGAAGCAATATACAGCCCGACGAACAACACAATAAAAGCGAACACCGTAAAACGAACGCGCCAAGTGTCACCGTGACCCACGCAGTGCCGAGGCGCTCCGGCTGCCTCGACTCCGCACGTGGTAGATTACACAAAGTAGCGCGACCTAGCGCGAGTCCGTCTGGCCGGTCCGTCGTATGGAACGGGACGTTGGCGACCGTCCGGTGTCTCCGGCAGCTCTAGACGGCACGGATCGGGCCTGGAAGGACCGGCCCCGCCGTGAAGATCCGGCCGCCGGTGGTCGGCAGCTGTCAGTTCCGAGACACCTGGGAGCGGATCAGGCGGAGACATGTGAGGATCAGGCAAAGACCTTTCCCCCTTAGGGTCGTCGGTCACGTCACATGCTCGGCCCTCACGACACAAGGGGAGGCCATATGGAGGCGAGAACGGTTTCAGTCGGGAGGGGTGGACGTACCAACGGCGTTTTCCCCATTTTATCTGAACGCACTGGGGGCGTGCAACCCGCACGACCTCCACGGGTCCCCGCCACGGCTTCAACAATTTAGGTGACGTAGCCAAAGGTGCCTGAGGGCAATGCAGCCAGGCCCTGTCACCTGGTTCCCAATTGTGCACGGACACCTTCCGTGCCCGCAACCGCTCGTTTGCAATTTGGCGAGCCCGCGAATTAAGCCGTGCGGCCTCCCTTGCCTCTGTCAGCTTATGAATATTAAATTTAATATGCTCTGCCAATTTCGAATTAGTTCGTGGTGCGGGCAGACCCAGCTGCGTTTCCATGGGCGGGTCGGCTTCCCGACCGTACATCAGATAAAACGGGGAAAATCCCGTAGCTGCATGGGGGGCCATTCTATACGCGGCGAGGACCCCAGGGACCTGCAGGTCCCAATCAACATGTGCCCCACACACCTGCTGGCACAGCATAGAAGTCAATGTCCTGTTAAGCCTCTCCACCATCCCGTCCGTCTGCGGGTGGTACGGGGAGGTACGCACCTTCTTGGTACCCAACAGGTCGCACACCTCTTGCAGTAATTTACTCGAAAAATTTTTCCCTTGGTCAGTCAGCAAGCGTTCGGGAGCCCCCTTGTCCAGGACGTAGCCCTGGACAAAGGCGTCCGTCACAGCCGCCGCCGACTGGTTGGCGAGTGGCCACGCCATAGGCCACCGGGTAAAATATTCGACCCCCACCAACAGGTACTTATTACCCCTAGGCGTGACCGGAAAAGGCCCCAGAATATCGAGTGCAACGAGCTCGTTAGTGCGCGAGACCTGAATAGATTGCAGCGGTGGATTAGCTGCCACGGGCGGTGGTTTCCGTCTGGCGCACTCAACACAACCCTTCAGAATATTCACCACGTCACCCCCATTCCCGGCCAATAATAGTCACGCTGAAGCAGGGCAAGCGTTTTGTTAACTCCCAAATGCAAGAGGCGTTCGTGTGCGGCCAAGACAATTTTCCCCTTCACAGCAGAAGGCACCACAATCGCGTGCCGCCGGGACAAACTGTCCCATCTCATTAACAGGCCTTGCTTAAGTACGTAGGAGCCAGTTCGTTCATGGTCGCCTTCGGAACCCCCGTCCTTCGGCGCAATGCTAGCAGAGAGCTGTCCGCCATTTGGAGACGGCCCCACTCAATCAGCGACAGTGAGAGCAGCGAGTCGTGACCCCCTGGGGTAGCGGGACCATCCCCAATTGGTGTGCCCGCGGTCGCAACCAATGCCCCCTCGCCTTCCGTAACTGGCGGTCTACAGCGCGCCGATCCCGATAAGCACGCACATTTGTGACAAGGCAACAATCGCGACAGAGCATCAGCATTTGTGTGTCGCGCGCACAGCGAATCGACCCATTCGAGGTCCTCCTTCGGATTAACGTTTTGCGTGGGGCTCGGATCAGCCTGCGCAACCAGCCGCTCTTCCGCAGGGACCTGCGCCGCGTGAGCTAGCACGGTGCCCTGCTGAATGACGGCCGGCCGCGACCCAGCGTTTAAACCCCTGACAACCGGATCCCTGTCAGCCCCAACCAAAGTGTGAGCCACCGACAAATCGAGACCTCCAACAGCCCTATTAGAAGGACCCAAAAGCGTGCCTTGATCCGAGGTCTCCCTCTCCCCTGGTTTCCGCAACCGGAGGGGAATTAACATTTGTGAACCCGGGGGCACGTGCACGGTCTGTGTTGCTAACGCTTGTATCGTAGCGCACGCCGTCCGAATTTCAGTAGGGTTCGTCAAAAATGAAATACGGCGACCCGATGGTAGTTCAATGCAACGCTGATCAATGAGAATTTTGATGGGCATTTTTGCCAAAAAATCTGTGCCCAATAGACAAGGAACCGCCAGGGAGGACGAAACGAAAACGGGTCCCGACAATTTGATATCCCCAATGCAAATAGACGCCCTAATCTGACCGATAATGCCCAACGATCCCCCATTAGCGGCGTAAAATGGCACATCCACTGGAAGCAGCGGACGACATTGTACAGGGAGAATGTTGTAAATGAGATCCGATATAATAGTCGCCGATGCCCCCGTGTCCACTAACACCCTGACCTCGACCCCATCAATAGATCCCGTAACGACGGATGAACCCGCTCTGGCAGCCACTATTCTGTGCCCCAACTCCGACCATTTAATGTCTCCCCGGACCCGGCCGAACCCCCCTCGCCGAACCGAATCCCCGAACTCTACTCGGCTCTCCCCCGCCGCAACGCGACGACCCATATGTGTCGAGTATGCGGGCCAAGCATGTGAGGTGCCGCGACTTGCCGGGGTTTGCAGGGACGACTTGGGGCCTTGGTCGTCGTCCAGCCGAGGTCCCATGGCGCGCTGACGTGGGGCGCGGCAACCGGAGGCCACGTGGCCACGAAGGCCGCAGTTATAGCAGGTGATGACAGTAGTCGGAGATCTCGGTTGCTCCAGCTTGCGGGCCGCTCGCAGAGGCGAACGACCCCCCGACCTCCAGTCCCCCGCTCGTCCCGCGATGAACGCGTCCTCTCGTGGGCTGACGACTTGGGGCACGGTGTCAACCGGACCCGGAGTTGAGGCCACGGCAGCGTTGCAGACGACCCCCTGCTTTCGTTGAAGGACCTCGTGCGCTTGCATGCTCGTGGCGACCCGTAATGAAGAAATATCGGTCTCGTCGGCCGTGTTGATGGGGACCCCCAGGTCCTGCGCCAACTTGAGCAGCTGCTCCAAAACCATCGCATCTTGGCCCTCCTCGTCCATACGAGGGAACGCGGCGTCAGCGAGAGCGAGCAACGCCGTGCGGTAGGCGAGCACGGTCTCCGTGTCCGCCTTCCGTCTTGCGTAGAAATGATGGCGGCACGCCGAGGGAGGACCGTAGACTTTTGCCATGAGAGCCAGCGCATCCTTGAGCGTGGAGCGGTCCGACCTGCGTGCGGACGTGAAGGCCGCGAGCGCGTTGTCGTCCAGCATGGCAGGCAGTGCCCGCAGTGCCGTAGCGTCGGACCAGGCGGACATCTCTTGATGCGCCAAAAATCTGCGCTGAAATTGGCTCCAATCCCCGCCTTCCGCCTTGAATGCTGACAACGTGGGAAGGCGCTGCTGAAAGATGAAGTCGTCCTCCTCCTCGTGCTTCCTCTCTGCCGCCCCGTCGGTGTGTAAGATGGCGGCCCCAGCGGCGGGTGTGTGATGGCGGTCCGCCGCGCGCGTTGGTGACGTCAGCGGGCGCGCATGGAGAACCGCTGCCACGTGGTGATGGCCGTTCCCGCCAAAAGTCGGTGCAGATGAAATGGCGGGAATCGCCAAATCGTTTT